GCTTATGAATCAGGTCCCTGAAGAGCTATAAAAGCGAAACAGGGTGAGAGATGGTGACCCCATCCCTCTGTTGGACCTTGATTCGCTTTAACAAGCAATACCGCAAACCTCAACACTTTTGAGGTGAGTATTTCTTTACTCATACTGTGTACCCCCAACGGCTTCGCCGAAGGGGGTACACCGTCCTAACCCTAACTTAGAAACAGGTACAGGGTGGGAAGAAATCGAGCAGTTCAACGAGCAAGAAAGTCAAGACCGGGTCGGAGCATCCTCCTCCGCCCAAGTATATACCCCGCGGCGGACGACGAGTACCGGACGCAACAAAAGGCGGGGGGTCTGGCAAGCCGAAGAAAACTCCAGCGGCGAAAGGAAAAGGGAAGGGGAAGGCGTAGAGGCAGGCTGCCGCCGCTCTATGGACTTATTCAGGTATGACATACCCGCCACTTACCCCGACTGGTTGCTTACAGTTCCACTTCCGGTAGCTATTAATTTTGTACTATTACATACGCCCGTAAATATTATTACGGCTTCTCAGTTTCGTAACAGCGTACATAAGTCACCGGGAGTAACCATTCCTAAAGAAATAGAGCTTCAGCTCTCCGTAGGTATGAAATACATGTTTTATACCCCCCGCAACTCAGACTTAATTAAGTCCGCGTGGGAAGACTTCAAAGAACGTCTCCGATGGAGGCTTTACTTTAGCTTTACGAAGAACAACTCAGACGACGATCTTTATGATCCAGACTTCGATATCCCTCAACAACGTAATGTTAGAGCCCCGAGGTCGCCACAGTATATTGAAGCTGGCATTGCAGCGGGCGAGCGCTTCGTGTTTGACACGATCGCCAATATCCCTGCAGAAACGGAGGAGCCCATTAAATCGGCGCTAGCTCCAAAACCGAGCCAGATCAAGTCCTTCTTGGATCGTAACAATTACTTGGTTACGAACACCGACAAGAACCTGGGAATAGCTGTATCCACGTGCCAGTGGATTATAGAGAAGTCGCTCGATATCGTAAACGATAGTGCTAATTACACACCGTTACATTTGTTAATGATTAATGCGATATGCGATAAACAGTGCACAGACATGGAAGAAATTGCTGGCCTTGCTGAACGCCATCTTCCTAACGGATTACAATTAGGGAAATATTTCCGGTCGAAGATCACTTCGCCAGGATCCCAACATGTGGTGCCGACATTCTACGGGATACCCAAAATTCATAAGGAACCCGTAAAAATGCGGCCAATTATACCGTGCCACTCCGCCATCCAAAATCCGGCAGCAAAATATGTGTCAAAAATTCTCAAACCGATTGTCAAATCGGCGCCAACCATATTACATGGATCCAAAGACTTGGCGAAAAAATTGAGTCAGATAGTTACAGATCGATCCCGTAAAATGTTTATCGTTACGGGAGACGTTGTCGCTTTTTACCCTAATATACCTCTCCAGAAATGTCTCGATGTGATTACTCACTTGTATGGAGAATATTACGGTACTGAAAACGACGAGGAAAAACTTATTCGTGAAATGATTTTTCTCAAATGTCTTTCGACTGGTAACAAAAATCTGGTCTTGCAGTACAATGACCTATTCTTTGAACAACGGAACGGCCTAGCAATGGGTGTCGCCGACTCGCCCGATCTTGCCAACCTCTATGGTTGGTATTTCGAGCGACAATTAGAATTAACCGCCGCTGTGCCTTTCTATGGAAGATACATCGACGACTGTCTAGCAATAGTCTATGCTAACTCCGAATCTGAGGCGTTAGCATTAGTACAGACTGTTAGCTTTGACGGCTGCAAGATAGAATGGGAAGCGAGTCCCTCACATCACGAATTCCTGGACATGATGATTTATTTCGACGCTAATAACGCGATTCAACACATGCCATACCGGAAAGCTCGCTCCCATCAAGAACGTATTCCATGGATATCACACCATCCGCTAGACGTTAAACGCGGTACATTTATAGGTGAGATGTCCAGGCTAGCAACGTTAAGTAGCACTCATGAGCACTACAAAGATGCTATTAAAAGTTTAAATGCTTTATACATCGCACGTGGCTATCCTGCCGATTATGTGTATAAATGGACGAAAGATAATATAACCACACGTTGGAGCAACCGATTGGGCGTAGCGGCCCAGAGGGGAGATGACGACGGAGTGTTGGTTCTTAAGTCCACATATAATACAGCGTGGAATTACTTCAAAGCGAGAGAGCTCGGAGATACGATATTAAATACCTGGCGCGACCGAATCGAAAGAATCGAGCGCCTCGGCACTGCGCCGAATAATATGTCGGTGATGTATGGAGACATACCACCGGCGGAGGTAGACAACCGTCTTTTGATGGCTGTCGAAACCCCAGTAGGCCCTCGCGGCATACTGGATATCAGAACAATTGGTATTTTAAACCGACGAACTATTGTTAGTAAGAAACGTACTAAAAATTTGTTCGATATGACCGGTCTTTGGAAAAAGATCGTTCTCCGAAAGTTTGATGAAGACTCAGTATCCTCGGATCAAAACGTACCTTCTTCGGATTCGTCTGCTGCTGGCGACGATTCAGACCGAAGTAGCGTTGATCCGCAGGTCTTCATAGATATGGTTATGGGAACATCATGATGCGACTCCTCTCTAGGGAGGCAGACTCGTGGACAGATAAAGTAAAACCAGGTATTTTGCCGGTCGGTCGCGAGTAGTTGGACTATTATAAAAATCCGCCTGGGGTAATAGTTAAATCAAGTCGACGATATTCTCATTGTAAGCCATGCAAACAACTCGTTCGCTATATAAAATTGAAAAAGACTCCTTTATTAGGGGCGTACATAAACATGCCAAGCTCGGTATGGATGGCAGGTGGTCTGCCAGCGGACTAACCCTAACCCTAAGTACGTCCTGGCAACTTAATCGTTGTCGCAGTCACGCATTAATGAATTATACTAATAATGCTTACTCAGCCCGAAACCCTAACCGGAACCCGAACCTTAACCCGGACCTAACCGTCCGTCACGTATAAAGGTCGGCCGACCGGACCGGCGAAAAGCCGGCTAGGAACTCGGCCCGAAAAGCCGGTCAGGTGACCTCGGTCTTAACTTAGTACGGCCCGGTGAACTTAGTAGCCGACGGCAAAACGGATAAATTAGTCAGATGGTATGACTAACCGGTTAAATAGAACCCGCAGAGTAAGCAAGTATGAATAATAAATGGTACGATTCCGTACCTTAATTACTAACCGTTGTGATGCAATACTCACTGCGGATTGCGTGATTGCTGATAAAGCCAAGCTGATTGGACCGCCAAATCCTCTCAGCCGAGTCATCGGCTTATGAAGCAGGTCCCTGAAGAGCTATAAAAGCGAAACAGGGTGAGAGATGGTTTCCCCATCCCTCTGTTGGACCCAGCTTCACTTTACCAAGCAATCAAGCAATCCCCAAGTTTACCACTTGGTGAGTAGTTGCATCATGATTATTGTGTCCTCCCAACGGCTTCGCCGAAGGGAGGACACCATCCTAACCCTGACTACCCTACACTGGACCCTGCAGAATCTCTGGATTGGTGTGGTAGTATACATTAGACGCAATGTAGACTGGTTAGTGTGAGTCATTAGCAAATAGGAGTTATGTAGCCAAGGGTTTGAGTTGTTCAGGGTAGATAAGGTTTTACTAAGTAGACATAGTCAGTGTGCAAAGAATAGAGAGCAATCATGGTGTGTTATATGGAGCACAGAACTCAGTGCTCAAAACTCTCACTTGGTGGGCTGAAAAAGGAAAGTATCTTCCCTAGGTACAATTTCATAAGTGGCAATGTTTCTTTTGTAGAGAATGAAATCAGCATTTAGGTGTCATTTTCTGGCACTCTGCAGAGCTTCTCTAAAAGGGTGCATGTCATTGTATTTCACCTTTGTCTCACTAACTGGAATTCCCACATTTAGACCAGAAGAAGTATGACCTGTTGCAACTCCAGGTTTTCCATCCAGCCAAACAACAAACATAGGTGATACTGGTAAAAGCATAAACCCTTTTGGCAGTGGTGGTGATCAATGACCAACTGCAACTTTGCAATCATGAAATGCATGTATTTTGTTGATGTTGTTGGGGTCCATGGCATAATTTTTGGTCTTTTCATGGAGAGAATCCTCCCATTCACTGAGATAGAGAGGCCAGAATCCATTGCAAAGACTGCAAATGACTGATGGGACAAAGGGTTCATTCAGGTGAAACCAAAGAATATTCTCCAGGCAATCAATGTTGAAAGGTGTGTCAACTACTATGTAGTCTTTTAGTGCATGAAGTGTGGCCTGCATAAATGGATCATTATGTAGGTGTGACAGTGGAGAAGGCAGAGGAACATATACTAGAGGGAGCAATAGTTGAACTCTGCAGGCCAGCTTGATTAATCTGGTCCTGGAGAAGTTTGACATAGTCTCCAGCAGCCTCAGACAAAAGGTCAAGCTGTCAAAGTTTATCTGTGAAGTCTAAGACATTGACAGAACCTCTAACACAGTCTTCAATGAGATCTTCACAATGTTTCACCAATGCTGTGACATTTTCAATATCAGACAAGGGGTTTAAGGTCATGAATGTGACAATAGGTTTGAGGGATGAAAGCATGGACAGAAACAATTGCTAGCAACTTGTAGAATAAAAGGTGCAGTAATACTAGATGAGAATTGGTTAGATTTGGCAATGCCAGACAGGCAATTGGGATTACTGATGCCAGAGGGAAGAGGTGGAGCCTTGATGCCTGGAATTGGTGGTCAGAATTTGATGACAGTGAGAGGGCACAGCTCATCTCACTAGGGATGCAGGATGAAGTTTCAGATGAAGATGAGACACCAGAGCCAATGTCTCTCATGAATCAGTGTCAGCCAAGAGTCAGTACTGAGACAGAGATGACACTAGCAGCTTATAAATACCCACAGTCAAATCAAACTTGGACCACACACTGATGGCTGGACAGGCCCCCCACATCCTCTACACAAAGGCACTCATCCACAAAGGCCATAGTTATCTGTTTTGGTATTCAGAGCCAGACTGTAGCACACCTGATGAGTTCATAAGAGCAGGAATACAACCTGGGGATATAGAGATTCACAATGATTCAGAGAGCTTCAACTTTCTCTTCAACATCTTCAAAAATGCTGAACATCCAATCAATTGTGGTCATATGCCTCCTGACTTCATACCTCTCAATCCATCATCTATACAACATTGCACAGGGTTCTATGCAACTGTTATTGCAAGTGAACATGCATCCTACTCAAAGATTTCTGCAGGTGTTTCTGCTGATGCTTTGTCAAGGTCTGTGGATGACAGTATCCTTGAATTTCATTGTCTACATTTGCTTTATAGTATTACAGACACTGAGCCTGCCACATCCTTTGACTTCACCATCTCAGGGGTATCTGCAGCAGTCCTGTGTCTTCCTAATTTGGCAATAAGCTATGATATTCTCAACAAAGGCACAATGAAAGTATATGCTGAAAAACATGCAGTATCTTGGTACAATTACATCAATGATCCAGATTCATTGGATCAAAAAGCCCTGCAGGGTTCTTTGTATGTCATCACTGGATCTGACAAAATGACTACCTGGGGAGCTGCAGTTATTGGAAGGGTGGCCAGCAGTTTAAATCATTCTCTTACATGTGCTACAGCATGCATTGGTGGATTAAATGGTACAGATCCACATGCATGGACCACTAGTTCTGGATTTGATACATGCCTATATCCATTTTCTCATATTGCTTATCCTTACCCAAAACATCTTGAGAACCAGTGTATCTTTGCATGTGGTGACACCATATCAGTTTCTGAAGTCCTGCTCAAATCATGCTAGGAGGCAACTGCTGATCCCCTCCATAGCCTTTCCAAAGATCCCATTCACTTTTTTGATAGTAACAAGGTGCCACTCCTGCTGAGCAACAGAAACAGCAGGACTTTGACTCATTTTCTCCCATTCAATACATCACTGAAGGACCAGGACTCTGATCAGAGAAATATATTGGTAGAGAGCACTGACAATATGTCTTTGGTTGCAGAAGCATCTGAATTTCCACCCAGGGGAAATGAGGTGAGATTGATGTCAATCATTTTTGGCACACTGAAATCATTCCTCCTTTCAGCTTTTTCATCTTTCAGCAGCAATGAATGAATATTTGTTAAGCCAGGTAAGTTTCTTGATGAACAACAATTCACATTGAGGCATCCTTTGCAGGACTCTTCCCTCAAGATTGCAATCACACATGATGAAGAGTCGACGGAAGTGCTGGAAAAGTATGAAAAGAATATATATTTAACAGAAGAGGAATTCTGCTTCAAATTAAAGGACTTCCTGGATGCCAAGTTTGTTTCAGGTATTGACATAGCTCTTTTCCATGTTTTTAAGCTAACCACTCATATTCAGAATTTGTAATAGGATGAGAAACCAAGAATAGGCCTTATTTTCCACAAGATCCTGGTGTATTTTTCTCTTTTCTCCCCATTTTCTTCACAGTGATACTGAAAGGAAGATTGTATATTGCCCTCCTTTATACTATCACATCCAATGTACATTTCCTATCCATTGCAAAATACATTAGTTTTACAGCCAAGAACAGCCAATCCTTGCAGATATTGACATGACAGGGCTCCCAATCGGATACAAAGAATAGGTCAGGTGAATCACTAGTTGGCCTCTGAAAATTTACTTCCAGCAGCTTTCGCAGTATTCATACTTTTTTAAAACTTTCTACAGGTTCTGACAGGATACAAAATTGAACAATCAAGGATGACTAAGAGAGGTAATTTTGTGTAGCACCCAGGGAATTGAATAAAGTAAATCAAATCACATGGTGACATCTCATGCAAAGCACTGACACCTTGTCCAATGAAATGGGGCTTGTACTAATATGTGGTCATCAGACAAGCATTATTTTGATAGGAAGAAGGATAGCAAAGTTAACCATGATTCATTGCTGCTGCTAACCACTGAGTACGTACACTTCGGTTCACATAGTCATTGGGATGCAAGTTAGACCCCGGAATTGACCATCATCTCTTTGCTCCCATATCATTTTCATCCTGAAGGGAAAATGAGTTGTATGGTGTTAATTTGAATGGCAATAAGTTTATTTTCATGACTCAGTCTGTATATCAGGGCAGGGTGACACAGGCACATGTAAATGAACTTGGTGCAGCAATTGAGGCATGATTCAAGATACCAGTTTATGGTCTCTGCTGCTGAATTGAGTGGATAAGTGCTATAAAGGTATAAATATCATTATGTTTGTGTTTAAGTTGTTCTATGCCATACGACAGCTCTGATTTTGCTGATATTCATGAAGCTAGATGTGTTATCTTCTGATGCATGCTTCAAATCTTAGGGAACTGGTTAATGTCAAATACGTTTCCCTATGGCTCACTCTCTACAACAGAATCTGAAAAATGTTAGACAAATGAAAAAGTGTAGGAGAAGGGGATACACATGTACTGAAAGAAATGAATAGAAATCTTCTTGGCCTCGTTGCTCTAGTTCACTTTGCTTCAGGTTTTGCATTCTCATAATTCACTATATGAGACTTCTTAGGCAAGTTGAGATGACAAAAATGAGACTCTCCAGGTTACTATGAGAGTGTTTCCATTTTGTCAATCCTCTGGATCTCCATTGCTGTAGATAAATGGTGGTTGGCAAGTATATCTGCAATACAGGTTGGGTAAAACCAGAAAATATGTACTTCATTAGGGGAATTGAGTCACATTAACTCATGAGAGACATATGTACCAAATTACTAGGTGAGCTGCCATCTCTGTTCTGGCTGTGATAAAGGTTTCTAGCTCGCAAATGCACCTGAGCTCCAAATTCAAATAGAAAGGGCCCTCTTCACCTTCATTGTCACTCTACCATTCAAATCCTGGTTGGACATCAAGGTCTCTACCATACACCAAGTGTTACGACTTTTCCTATTTTTCCTATTTTTCTTTCTTTTTCCTCAGAAATGACCTCTATCTTTGCTTAGTCAGGGCACTTAGGCCAGCGCTTAGGACTGTGGGAACGCTTAGCTCAGCAACCCAGTCAGTCACTCTCCTATCGCGTTGCTGTGTGCTGTGAAGGGAGAGACAATACCTTTTTTATCCCCAACCTGCACTGCCAAGATAACAAGCACAACAGCAAGACAACAGCTTTTGTGGAAAGCCTGGCAACAGCAGGGGTAACAGCTCTACAGCAGACAATATCTTTTGTGAATGATTATTAATAGCCAGATAACAGAACAGTATTTAAGTAGCTTAGTTCTCACTGTAATACCTCAGTCTCAAACTAAAGTTTATTCTCTACCATCCTATCTCGAGCAACTTGCAAACACCTTGATCTCACACCTCTGTTGACACATTAGTGAACTCAGTCAGACATACCTGAAGTGCGAGGTACCAAACTGTTTATCACATGTTAATAGTCATGTGTAGTTTGGGCTTAACACCAAGCCTGTGATCAGAGAAATAACACTGTGTGCAGGCTCCACATGCAACCTACATAAGATGGTTGTTAAAGGCCAAATCGAGGATGTATCTTTCCCATATTTCTTGGTTGTGTCCTTCTAGACTATTCAAGGACATCCCAGTGATATAGCTAGCCTAACTGAACATTCAAAAAGGTCAATTTGGTGGACTGGATTTAGAACACATTATCTTTTATGAAGATGACAACAACACTGGACTGTAATCTGCTTGACTAACCTCATATTGTCTTCCACAAAAACTCTCATTATCCTTAAGAACATATGTGATGTGGGTGTGCTGCATTGTCAGATTCCATGAAGACAACATGCAGAAGACACTGACCAATGCCTTTTCAGCTACTGCTGTTATGATTACTGAAGGTTGGACTGTAGGGCAGGATGAATGTACTAGTTAATCATAGATTATAAGAGTTCAAATTTACTGTTGAAGACTATCAGACATATCTAAGGTCAATAAGCACACGCTAAGCATCATCAGCAACTGTATGAGGTCAGAAAGTGCTAGGCATATCTATTCAACGAGATTTGAAGTTCACACAAGTGATAGTAGGTAAAAGACAGAAGATGGTATTATTCATCATTTGTACACTGTTATTTCTACATTTACAAGCTTTCTTAAACTACTTAAGTCCTGTGAGAGAACACTCTACCAGATTCTTGATACTGAGAGAAATATGTAGAAACATGGAGAAAGACAGAGAAGATAGGTATAGACATGGTAAATGGGGACTCATCCTCTGAGTCAGCTGTAACCTGGTGCCCATATCTCTGACAACCATTCTTTCTGGAGGGCTTCTGTAGCTGACATTAGCAGGTCTCAGCTCCCATAGGCACTAGGAGTGATGGCCATTTCATACCATTTAGGGAATTTTGACAGTTTCCTGTATCGCATTGTTAGTCATCATTCACTCCCTGTTCATGAAATCCAGAAATCCTACCTGCCCAATGTGAAGACCAATGCCTATGGCAGATGACACCTCCTTGGAATGCACTGGGGATCAAGATACAATGGCTTGGACCACCATTTTTATGTTGAGCAGAGCAGCATACTCTTCCTATGCCAGAGAAGTGCAGATCTGTGAGTCATTACTTTATGTTCAGTCACAATGGTTTGACTAGCAAAAGAGGTGCCATTGATTTTAATAGATTCACGGTATCTTCCGCCATTAAGCTGGGCCAGTTCCATGTCTTGGTCCATATTTAGTTGCTGGTAGATTTATTCATTGCCTTTCAATTCTCTGAGTCAATTAGATATATAAATAGTTATGCACAGATATTCCTTTAGATTGTGGAGGTATGGTGGCACACGTGCTTTGTCTGGATAGCATGTGGAGGATAATCCTTCCATTGCGCTGGAATATATTCCTGTCAGCTGTCTAATTATCCAACATTTTTGCTCGGTGATGTGGGTCCTTCTTGTCTCATTGTAGTGAAAGTAATTCATTTACCAAATAATTTTGTTCAATAGCGATATTATAGGTGCAAGATGTTATAGCATCTGAATACCGGCCTTAGCAGTAGTCTTGAGCTGGAGGTAAATTTTGTCCATCGCTCGCTGAGTCATATTCCAGGTGATGTTACAGCCGATGTTCGTATTCCACTCGATGTCACTGGAGTCCTTCTCAAACAAGGTTATAGGTCGCACAGAAAAAGCAGATATTTTCCACTGCTGACTGAACACCATAGACTTCAATGCTTCTAACAAACCAATATGACACCGATTTAGCTTCAAGAAAGATGATATAGCTGTGGGAAGGACTCACTAATCAGTATCTGCTCGACATCATCTTTCACATTTCTGCTGACTACGCTTAATCGCGCACTCATATAAAAGGGGTGTTGATAACAGTGTGAGACTCCATAGTAAACCATGTCTCACAAACACCTCGTTGTTTTTGGCGCTACAGGACAGCAAGGCAGCTCTGTTGTCGCCACATTCCTCAAAGACAAGATTTACATTGTTTGGGCCATCACTCGAAACCCAGATAGTGAGAAAGCAGAGGTGCTTGCTGCCAGCAGTGCTCAAATCATCATGGCAGAGCTCAATGATTACAAGAGCATCCTCAAAAAATTCGAGGTTCGTTACCTACACCCTTTTTTTTATACCAAGCAAATAAGATTTTCTCAGGGGGCGTCTTGCTGCCTTTGGCTTGACAGACTTCTGGACTCCCCTACCTGTTGACGGACTTGATGAAGCCTTCGAAAGGGAGATCCAGCAGAGTAAGAACCTTGCCAATGCCGCCGCCGCCACCCCCATACTCGAGCACTATGTCTGGAGTTCCTTGCCATCTGCTGCCAAAGGCGGTGTTTCCGTTCCCCATATCAACAGTAAAGCCCACATATATGAGTATATCTTCTCCTCCCTTCCTGCTCTTGCGAATAAGATCACTGTCTTCTGGGCTGGATTCTATGCTGAGAACTTGGGGACTTTTAACCATCCGGTGAAGCTGGAGGAGGAGGGGGGAAGTATGCATGGCTTCTGCCATGTACGCTTAGGGCGGTGGTACCCATGATGGGACAGACAGGTCCAAATGTGGGTTTTTGTCTCTGTGATCCTGGCAAAGCCGGAGAAGACTCTTTCTTTGAAGTGTGTTCTTGGGTCGGTTGAGAATTTGACAATAGGTCGAATCCTGGAGTTGTGGGGAGAGGCGAATGGTGTGGGGACGGTGTTTATACAAAAGGATGTGGAGGAGTTTAGCGCTTCGTGTTACACTGGTCCTGTGGTTGGGAGAGAGCTGGCATTGAACATGAAGTATTTTGAGTTTGCAGAGACTTGGGCGAAGAGCGGGGTGGTAGAGGTTTTGAGGAAGGAAGATCTTGGGATCGAGGATGTGGAATTGGTCAGTATGAAGCAGGCTTTTGAGAGGATCGATTGGAGCGATATTTTAAAGGCATAGTCATGTATGACCATGTGTTAATTTAATTTATTGAAAGCCATAGTCATCCTTTGAAGATATGTGATGAAGAGCAATGCTCCTTTTTCTTCTGCTTCCTCAAATTTTGATGCCGGTAGCAATACTCAGATATTTGCAAGGAAAGGTAGATATTCTTACTCAAAAATATGCACGGTTTCCGTAATCCTCGGATCCTGCCTTGAGAATCGATCGGATTCCCATATTTTATTGCCTTACTTCTGAAACATGATTGCGTAACCATGACAAACTTCTGAAGAGGCATGTACCACGGTAGGCTTTCTCTGGATTTAGCCATGCGATGCAACAAAAGAGCAGAACTCAATACTCACTGATGGATCTCCCTGTATTACTAGCTGGAAGTCGAACCCATGATTCAAGCACAAGAACAAGCTAGTTCAATCATCCACTCAAAATCCATTTCCTGATGGCACAGGGCTGTTGTCGACAGCGAAGTGGTATTCTTTATTGATGATCAAGAGTTATGCCAAGAATCAGAGGTGCACAAAAATAAAATGACATTCTGAGACCAAAGCAGTGAGGGTACGATCCCCGTGTTCTGAACTCAGAGCGCAACAACCATTTTTTTCTTCTGGCCGTCCTCACTTCTACTATTTTGTGATGTATCTTCACTATCAACATCCAGTGCTTACTTCTTATTGGCTCTATGTCGACGAGGTAGCTGTTGAGCCTTGTGAGCAAATTTTGATTGAACTTATCGCTGTGCCAGGCATCAATGACTTCTCCGACATCAGACGGACATGGCTCCTTCGGAATCGCTGCTGGAGCAAAGCCATGCTTGGTACCATTAGCGAGCATACCGCGGTGGTCATCCGACTGATACATGAGATCACCCTCCTTCTTCGCAGCCAGAGGTAATCAATTTCTTTCAGGCATGACAGGATTTGTTGTAGGTACCAGCAGCACTGGCAAAAGCAGATAGATCACAAGCACCGAGTGCATGGGATTTCTGGAAGCTCGGGAGTGTGACAATGAAGACGTGATAGATGTTCAGCGAACGGTGCCTTGCACCGTTGTGGAGCTGGTATATCTCACGAGCTATCTTGTGCAAGAATTTCTCCTCATTGATATCAAAAACTCAGCTAAAAAGAGGACGATAGGTGTTGAGATTCAAAGGTTGGTCAGAGGCGGTTTGGGCATCGAGGATTCTTGGACTTTGGAGAGAGTGAAGATACTGGGGAGGTGTAGTGAAGCTGACATGAGCTTGTCCTTTTGTATGCCATTTTGAGGCAGAGATTGGACCGATATCGTTATAATACATGGCCCTTGTTCTTCGATGTGTTAGAAGTCATTTTCATGTTCAATGACATGGATCTTCATCTTCGTCCAATGTCTCAATGAATTTTCGACACTATAGCTTGAATATTGCATGACGTAGGTGGACTACACAATACTCTGGTCATTCAAGTATTTACAGTCTCATGTTAGTTGTCAAAAATACAGCTTCACACAATCAGAACAAATGCTGGATGATGTAAGTCAGCGGGTAAAGTCTCCTTCGCCCATTTCTCCACATCTTCCTTATGCTTAGGACAGCAGTTTGTAAGCAGCCTAACAATGAAGAAGTCATTCGCATATTCAGCGACGACATTCGGAGGTGCCCTAAGCATTGCTTGCCCAAAATCCATGAATACTGCTCGTTTCAGCATGGTCGAGGTGATTATGATATTCTCCGGTATGATGTCGATGAGTATGACTTGACGTGCATTGATATCTTTCATTCCCTTCAAAATTGGAGCATACTGAAAGGAATATGTGTCATTGGAAGAGCTGAATAAGGAATCTAGGTGTAACTCACCACTCCTTTAATGGTCTTGAGATAATCACAGTAGATTTTTTGAGGCAGAGGGCCCTTTTCAACTTCTAAAGGATGGTGCGGAGAATATACATCATGAATATCGGCAAGAGTCTTCCCTTCGATGTACTCGAGGATAATTGCATGGGTGGACTCACAGTTAGGCATAAGAAACTATGTGAATGATCAGTTCCGTATTCATATTCAATGAATCGGAATCTACCTTATGCTTCCCATAATAGTAAGAGATAACAGAGCCCTGCAGATCTCCAAGCGCATTATAGACCAGATCCTCAATGCTGGCAAGTTGTCTGGGAGATGTATAACCAATGGAATCATGGTTCAATAGCTGGGGAGGTGGCATAAGAGAGGCCTGGAACAGCTTCAGAATGACAGGACCTAAAGACTCTGAATGACCCATCTCCTTCACATCAGCTACCCAGACCTGCGACCAATGCACCGGTTCATTTTGTATACCAGTCCTGACCACCACCTGGAATCTCCCTTCTTTCAGTGCAAAGGAAGGTAGCGGTCGATAGTCAGAACTAGGAAATTCATTTCGAGCTTCAATGACAGCTTCAAAAGCCAGGCCAGGATGTACTGGATTGAAAGATGCCTGTCGGCGGAGATGTGCAAGCTCATTACAGTGCTGTCGAACTTGGTCATGATCCAGGGTATTGACATCGAGAGGAAACTCTGGAAAGTAGGTGTTGCACCATTTAACTTCATAGGAGGGAGAGGAAGTAGTGCTCATCATGAATGATGCTTCTGGTATGAATGGAAAGAGATAGCTATTTAAGGGACTTTTTCAGCAGAGATTGAAAGTTTTTGATTAGTCGAACCCTATCCGACATCCATCGAATAACCAATGACAAGAAGAAACAAAGGGTCCCATTTGCACATCTCCTTCATGCCTAATGCATTCTCATGGATAAACTCTTATGTCCTACCTTGAGGCCTGTTTCTACGGCTATTTCGCCAGATTTTCTCACACATCTTGATCGCACATCTACAAGGGTGTGGCCAAATGCACACTGTAGTTTTACTGTCTCACATATCCTGACAACAAAACACAATTAGTAGGCCATTTTTTTCATTTGTGGGGGTCATCAATTTTAGGCCACTGGACGACTTAACGACAGGAGTTTTAACCAAATTATGTATCTGCTTTTGTTCCATGTGCTTTCCAATATCCATGGAGTATAAAGTCGGCCGCTCACTGGGTAGGTCCATATCGCACAGCTTCGCCTTCCTTGGACATGAATTCCTCTCAAATCACCTGGACAGAGCACTTCAATCGTATGCCATCACCCTGTCTTGTCGACAAACCACTTTTAAGGGAATACAACCTAACGCATAAGAGTACCCAGGCCGCCTTCACTGGTCCATCTGTCATTAAAACAGTAGGGGTAATACGGGATCAAATTTTCTTCGCCACCACAAACTGGCTGGATACTATCAGTTCCTTGAATGAGCCTTTGGCTCACACCCAGTCTCTTCACAATGAGCAGAGTGTGTTATACGTATATAATACACCATCATCCATACCAGCACTGATGTTGGGCTACATCGATATAGTGACATGTACTACCATTCGGTTTTAGTCCCCATTCAAGCAGTGCTCAACAGTGTTATCTCTGCTCTCGTGGGTGAAGGACATCGAAGAGGAGCTCTTATTGACCACGATATGTCTGTGAAAATGACGATGTACGATATCTTCCTGAAATTTGGCTATGCAATCCGCATTCGCTCCCAGCAAATAGATGCCTCAGGTATGTGGCAATTACTTTGAGTACAGTGGCCATCACTGATTGCTTACAGATGGCGCTCGGAAGGAGCACTATTTAGTATTTGAGCCACACTTTTCAGTTGATCATGCTCCCGAGAAGGTACCCATTCAGGGATGGAAGGGGCCAAATCATCGAGGATGGGTAGATTCACAAGTGTTCAGAACATGTATCATTGCAGTCACCCAAGCCATCAACAAAGCAAGACAATATGGGCAAACAGGTATATATCAAAAGGAGCTGCAGAACCAGTTTGTCCATAACTACCTGCCAGCCATGGTTCTTTGTGTCATCGAAGAAAAAGTAGGGTGGTGGGAATCCTTTTTACAATGCAAAGAAATCTCACTGTTATTGCCTTTTAGAAAGCCAATGTTGTTGTGGATCGAGCCTGGAGCAATGACCTTGTAGTGAGAATTGGTAATATCCCAGGACTCACATGCAACATTGAATATATTCTTCCTCAGCTCAAAAAGCAAGTCTAAGATTATTTTTTTCTTAAATTGATATGCACTGACAATTCTCCTAGATATGTCTGGGATTCACTATGCCCATATGTTGCGCTAGCTGACTACCTTACCACTATACTCCTCTATATCCCCAATACTGGTGCCTCCAGAGATCTTACTGACGGTATTATGAAAACAACTTCTAAGACAGTCATGGTGCAGAAGGACAATAGGAATATGACACCAAGGAAGCTCTTGTTCATGGCTGCTCTTCAGTGTCTTCTTGACACAGACACTATCACACTCTAAGCTCATCTGTATGTAATGATTTTTTCCCAGCATAGTACTACTATGTCTATTGAATAAGGAGATGTTCGCTGTTTTCAACTTTCATGCCTGCAGCTGTCATGCATGGTTTGTCCAAGATGCGTTTACAAAGCTTCTCGATTTCCCACGATTTCTGGGTTCTCATACTGACGAAAAGATCAAAGAAATTTTGGGGTATTTAGATGCGAAGTGTATGTCCACAGGGGAAAATTACAGAAAAATATACAGGCCTGATCATTCACAATAGCCTTTCAAAAAACCAGGCAATGAAATGGCAGTGTTACTTCGTTACAGAAGTCCACTTTTGTCATGCCATCTTTGACCCGTTACAAATAACATAACCTGTAGACACACCACGAGCCTGATGCGAATCCCATCCAGAAGCTCTTACCAGATGATATCTGCTGGTTTGTCCTTGCAACGAGTGAGAGATCTTTTTAGGATACAGCAATCTACGAGTACGTTAGAAACTAAGTAGGTAGGGCAATAAGTAATAAAATGCACCTCAGTCTTCACTCATATGGTGGTAAATGACTGAGGTGCAGAAAGAAAAAACGGCGGAATACACTATGGTAACGACTGTGCAAATGTACGGACCTAGTAGGCAAAAATAGAACCAAGTACAAACGGCCCGAAGCTGAGGGTGTGGACTGAACCTTTGACAGAACCCAACATGTCGAACATATCGCTCTCTTCCTTCCTTGAATGGTAGCACAGTGATGTGCTCTCCAAAAGTCAATAAGAACTTTCCAACGTCTGGTGATGATCATATTTGTGGGACAAATGTCATGATGGATGATACCATTTGGGTTTATCTGATTGAAGACACAGAGAATTGCATTGGGAGCCTCGATATCCTTTAATATCCATGTGAATTCCGATGATTTGGCTCAGACCTTGGAGACTCACTTGCTACATCATTTTATAAGTGATGCACATATCCTGCAAGCTCTATTGAATATGACGATTGGGACTAACAACTCAGCACTATTAAATGCTTCAACAGGAATAAAACATCTTCAAAAGTGACAACGGAATAGAGAACGCAAATAATGTCCAGTGAAGGAAAGACTTCCGAAGCAGAACAGAGGAACGGGAAAGCTCAATATAACCACAAAAGCAAGACCGATGGAGACCGAAATCAACGTCAGCTGTTGACCAAATCCAAATTGACGGCGCCTTAGCGTCCTAGTGACCGCAGAGGGTCAGAATCAAAAGACCGCTATGAACGATAAATGATCTCAGTGCATGAAGCTAAACAGTCAGTCATTCAGTGACCAACTGCCGAGGAAGTAGATTCGACTGGCACTTCAAAAAAGGCAGTCAATTTGGTCAATTTACATGGTGGCGGGTGGAAGTTCACTTTCGGAAACGACTGCGGGAATGTAAAATTGACGTCATGGAACAATCAACAGGATCGACGAGATCAATTGCGTTATCAAGGGGTCCAAAAACTCCAGATTTCCGTTTTCCACTCGTTCTTTTTCCGTGCAGGCTCTTGGAGTGGAGAGTTGGTATCAGAAGAAGAGGCGAAGAGCAAAGCGTCTCTATTACTGAATGAGTCATTTTACCTCACATCGACTTTCTGTATGCTGCGTAGACTGTGTTTTCCGGTGACATCGACATGCAGGATAGTCGGCATGACAATGCGCTAATGTATCTTAAAGTCATGCCCCGCGTACTCACTCGCATGGATAACCTTCAATCTCTAACTCTCCCTTCGTTTGATATCCACGTTGTGCACCATCACTCTGTCTTTGGTCTCCACCATATCAAATTTCGCGACGCACATCTCTCCGGGCAGACCGAGGCTGAACTATTCACCTGGATAGTTGGACAAACCGACATTGTCTCCTTGCGTTTTCTATCACTTCTCGATATCTCAATGATGAAGATGACTCATCTCCATCTACTCAGCTTCCCGCTACCATAATGTGTGCATGACTTCTTCTCTCAGTACCTACGACGCCCAGATGGCTATCTTTATTTCCCATGCCATCTCTGCGGCCGTTCCAGCCCACTCCTACGCTGGCTCAAAATTCGTCCACACATAGATCCATGACTCTGCTCCCTATACTGACCACCTTCTATGGTCTGCTGCACTTGTTCATCCTCCTCGCGCCCTCTCGTTGTTATGGATATCTATAGTTAGATTCCGTACCACCCTTTTTCGGAAATTACTCGTCCGTCAAAGAACATTCTTGCAGTACTATACCTTCTACATGTTTCTTTATCTTTCTTACTTAGTCTTTAACTCTCCAGAAGCCCAAAATTGTTGTTTATATACAGGGATCTATTAGTTACAAAAAAATCAACCAATTTCATTCAGAATTATCCTCACTTGAGTGAACCTAAGTTTGGAAAAGACTATGCTGAATGCATTTCTTCGATCATTCGGATCCCTTTTGGAAAAAGAACTCATACTGCATTTGATCACCAGCAAGATGTTATCACAGCGCTAATCTACGTGACTAAGTATTCTCTCGATCATAACACTCATCCTCTAATCAGCATATCTATTACCATCTCTATGCTAGTCAATGCTGGTTTTCATCTTGCGACCACACTAGTCTCTCGTACCATCCGTTCGCCACCTCAAGTTCGAGTTCAAATATGTGGATAAGCATCCCGAAGAAAAGACGCTATGCAGGGCCATTGTATCCCCCAATATCAAACAGCTCCAGATTGAGGGAGAGAAAGGAAAGGAATGTTGGCGGGCCGTCGTTCTTCAATTAATATTTCTCTGTGTCCTAATCACACATGATCCTGGGGCAAAGAAAGGGGAGTAGGAGCTCGATGAGAAGTTCCCTCTGCCTAAATGATCCACGACGCGGTCAATGTCGTCAAAGATCAGTCCGTCAGGCTATTTGATGGTGGTCAGTGAGAAAGTCCCGTGCAGGTCGTCGAGCAAACTCATGAACCCCTCTCGAGCGCATTGTGTTTCCCACGGGAGTAGAGTGACGCCGTCCACATCGACTCTCCCTGGTCCTGATCGTCTCCACGTGTCCCGATAAATGATGGTATTTTCATGAAGAGGATTCATTCTACCCAAGGAGCAGAGACTCTCGAGATCCTAACATGGAGAGCAGGACTTTCTTTTCAATGACAGTGATGACGACGAGCCGTTCTTTAGCTTCAAGAAAGCCGGTACAGACTCACTGTACTGATGAAACGTCGTTGATATGAAGGTATCGGTGTGATCGATCCATATCTTCTTCCATGGTTCTCTCTTCATTATATCACAGCAACATTCTCTGGCTTCACACCCTGTAACATTTTTTTACCATTTTCTCTACATCTGTGGATTCTCTGGCATTTTTCTTATATACCTAATTGAATTTGTCTCCTTAAAGTTGCCTCCACTCATGGCATTTAGTTCTGGAGGTCAGTTACAAACAGCTTTCCGTGGACTGAATATAGTAGCGAGATATACCCCTCTCCAGTCAAAAGAAAAATTCGGGTCAAATGACGGGAGTTATCCATCAATGCTACAAAGGGCTTGGCGGAGTTGATGCAGGACTTATCAGTGTTATCATATGAGGTGAAAGAAAAGGAAAGGGGCCAATTCGTAGACCAGGTCAGAGCATGCTGGAACATAGTGAGTCTACCCTGTGTATCCTCCTATTATTTGCCCAAAAACAATCATAGTATTCCGTGATTACTCTCCACTGACTGCATATGCACCCAAGGTTCCAAGGACGAGCCATGAAGTCAAAAACACCATCGACTACATGTAGCAAAATTTGGGTCAATATTTCAACAGAAATCAGATGGATTAGCGGAAGATGCTCCGCTTCCCATTCATGGAGAGGAATTGTTGAGTGTATGAATTCAAGGCAAGACACAAAAATCTGACATGTTGAAGCATGTTCTGTACACGCGACTCGCGGCGGGAAACATTAATGAAATAGGAGATGGACCCCCAGGGTCTTGTAACGCTATGGACCTCAGAAGTGGAATGTTGGGAAACAATGTAGGCGAATGAAGATAGACCTCCGAAGCTTGAGAGGCTCTGGGTAGCGATTTACAGGCAAGCCCCAAGGAAATGAGTGTATTTTTTGAATCTCGTGGTGGTAAAACTTTCAAGCAGTCGTTTCTGGATCTCGGCACGAAATTCCCGAAATAAACGTACACCCTCCCCCGAATGGTTAGTTTGTTTAAACTGCAGATAACAGCATCCCGAAGTGCAAGTGAATAAGTAATTGATGCAACACTACATCGAGTCCCCGCTGCGAGAGCAACCGATACCTTCTTCCGAGTCGGTAGTCAAATAAAGCCTCGGAGATGGATGCATCAGTTCTCAGTTCGTGAGGAGAGAAATTGCTGACTAGAAAATTTAAACCTGTCTTCCAAAGATTCGACCTTGTTCTGTGAGGATCAAACAAGACGGGGTGGCTTGGAGTCGTTCAAGAATATCGTCAGGCCAATGCATCTGAAGCTTCGAAGTATAATTATATATAATCCTACAAGCCCCCCCGTTTCCCAACTACCAGGAACATGGTAGGAGTCTCGACTCTGGAGTGCAATGACCCGGGAGCAACTATGACCATTAAGATAATTTTCAGACTAGCGCACGTGAAAGAAGTGCGATTACGGGTCGATGTTGCGGCTGGTAACAGCCTGAGCAATGACCCGGCCACTATCGAAGCCAGGTAGGTTGCACAAGGCGATCCCGCGACTCATTCAGTACCCCCCATGGAGAACACGAACCTCGAATATGGGCAGATGCAGTCAAGGACGGACGAATGAAAGCGGGCCCTTCTGACGTGGGTAATCCACAAAGAAAAAGCACCTTCTCTGAACGCTTGGCTCACGTGGAATGACTTGCCTAAGCAAAACGCCCCGAGCAAGGCTAAAAACTCCGCCTTCCCTGCCCCACAAAAAGGCGAGCTGATCCCACCAGTTCGGGATGCCTGCGTCCCTGAGTGCTTTTACGTCGAGCCTTCTATTGCGTCACTTTTTGGAACCACGGAACGGTCCGATACGAACTTCAGCGTTAAGCCCATGTTTCCGTAAGAGAAAGGTTGTCAATGCTGGACTGTCGGAGCACATCCAACCAATCAATCTTTTTTTTAGCAGGGAGCAGGGCATCATCGATTGTGGACTTAGCATTGCCTCCACAGAGGCCGTATGTATGTTGGGCTGCCCCCACATGATGGGATACCTAAATAAGGGCCGGATTTCTCAAGCTGCGCCACATGTGAAGGAGATTTGAACGGAACTCTTTACCTCCAAGCTGATAACTTGTTCCATAACTTGGGGATTCCACGGCGGTATTCGACTTGTAATTCATGCACCTGCAAGTCATGTCATTCATTACATGACCCTAATTGTGTGTGCTGTGAATGTGCCTGCCAATTTTGATATGGTGCTCTTCTTTCATGATGTAGCTCGATTTAAAGGCTTCATGGCTGTGATTCTGAGATTCCGAATTAATCCTTCAATGTATATATCCTAAATCAAAAGTACCCCAATTTTCGTTACCTCCATGAAGGTGAGCAATTCTTCATATCTCCGGGCCCACATCCGGAGCAATTTCTGACGAGCCAGATCAGCTTCGACGGTATGACTCAGAGTAATTATATGACTCTACAGCTGAAGCGGGAACCCATGGAGGTAAAGTCACTAGGGAAACCCTCTCCATCGTGGCGTTGACAACCTACATCAATTCAGCGTAGTTGAGACTATAAAGTGGCCACAACGTATTTTGTTTCCTTTTCGGACGACATACACATTGACGGTGTTAGAGTGGAAAGAAGATAAATCAGTGTCATAAGGATACCCATCATCGGATAAGGAAACTGTGCAAAACCGCTATCCCACAAACCGCTCCTACTGCAATGAACCCGAACGGATACCCGCTCGGATTCCCATCGATGCTAACGGACCACAACTGCAATCATCGTTAATCCCTCCCTGCATATAACGAGAGGCCGAAAGGCACCTACGTAACCACCCAACACCGGACCAAAACACCTCGCAAGACTGACAATACTCTGCGCCACCCCGTTAGCATAGCTAACCGCTTCGGGCGGAGACACTAGTAAAGCCATCATAAGAGTACGCACAGGAATAGACAAACCATCATCACTCACTATAATTCAAAAGGATCGCCACCGAAGTGAACGCAAAAGTCACCCCGCAAAACCTTACAGCTCTACAATCACAAACGGGTCAACTCAAAATTCCAAGTAAAGAACAGAAAGAACACACGTGCTAACAGCAAGCGCTGAGAGAAACATTACATGCCCTGGTTAGAAATCACAAGCCTCATAAAAAAGACAAAGAAACTAACCAGCCATCAATACAAAACCGCCATCGTTATCTGCACTGGCAAAAGGTGCACGATACAATACCACCGTCAGATACGATGGTATAAACAGAAACGAACCCAGCCGGAACATGGCTAGATGGGAAAGCCTTCCCCGAGGGGGCCTAAGACGAGTCGTCAGCCCAAGAAGGCCATAAATAAATCTGACAGCAAGACATGCCCAAGGTTCCTATACACACAAAAAATAAATCTTTCCGCTTACAAGAGCAAAAAAAAAAAAGGTGCGCACGGATACAAATAAAACTGGTACACAATCTGAAAGATACACATTATGGCAACTAACAAAAAAAAGACGGTCAGCACCACATCCCACCCTGTCAAACGGAGGCTTCTCAACTGATTTGCGCAAATCCACCGGCGCTCAGATTGAGTCCACCGGAATCATAATCTCTAAAAAGCAAATGTTCAGCGACGCAAGTCAAGGGCACACAAAAAACTAGACATACGTCACAAGATAGGACATAAACAGCTGATCGTGAGTCGTTGTATGCAGTGCCAGCAGTCCATACTGCAGAATAATCATGCCCGGCAACTTTGACCACATCGAAGGAGGCTGTTCAAGCTCGACCTGCGACTTGCGCGCCTCCATAATCGTCGTGAGTGCTTCGGTATTAGACATCAGCGTGTCAGAACGGAATAACAGGGATGGCGCCACTGGCGCGGGCGATGACTCGATACCGGTGTTGGCATATATCGAGGGCATCCCCCTCGACACCGTATCCACCGACGGAGTAAGCGAAGCTTGCCGAAGAAGCCTTGTCTGCGGATACGGAGGAGCACTGAGCGGCACAGGTCGAATAGTAGGCGTGCCGCCCCCGTTCTGCAGTGAAATTGAGCTGTGAGAAAACGGAGATGCTGTGTTACTTCTGGAATATCGGCATCCCCGGGATGCATCCATAGAATCGTCATCAGACAAATCGTCGTCCGTCTGATCTCTGTCATCGTTATCCGCATTAATCGCCGCCGCGACCCAAAGATCGGCAATGTTGTTGACGGTGTTTTCGTTGGCCATAACCATACGGTGGGCGATGCTGACATCGCTGCTTCGCCTTCGTCGGATGTTCGAGGAAGGTAGAACAGAACTCGTCGTGCTTCCCCGCCTTGTTTTGATACTCTGACTGTATCTGCTGGTAAACGTACCATACCCAGGAGTTCGGCTCGCCTTTGAGAGCGTGTTTGTCCTGAGTATCGGTAATGCGGCGGAGAGAGAGGGTCCGGACTTCGGTCCAGTACTATTATCTGCATCCTGTCCACGCGCTGACAAGTAGCCAGATAGCTTTTGTGTCAGAGTCTTGCTCAAAGATCCAGTGAATGTGCGAGGAAATGCGTCGTCGTCTGCATTGGGACTGGCTGTAAACGACTCTTCCTCTGGGATAGGAGAAGGTATGTCTCCGTTTTTCTCAGGTTCCGAAAGTGCGCCGGTCGTTGCGGGACCTCCGTCTCGCCCGAGAAAGCAGGCCAAGATCGATCCTGAACCAGAGGTTAAATAAAGTTCAAGAAAAGAACACCAATCATACCGACGAATGTGATGGATGCAGCAACAGCGCATGGCAGCAAGTACGGGTATAGAGCGAAAATAGATCCGGAGCCGAAAACTTCTGGCCACTTTGTGGCGGGACTCTCAACTATACGAAAAATAAAAAGAACCATAAATCATACGATCAGAGCGCCGTAACTAAATGACTGACAGAACCCGCCAACGATGGCACCAGCGACACCTCCGAATCCCCAACAGAACCTGAAAAGTTGTTCAATACGATGTTAGAAGATCCAACAGGAACTACATACCCCAAGATTGCATAAGCCCTGCCTGAGTTGCTTTCGTCAGTAATAGATGCCACTGCACCTCTTGCAACTCCGACAGCGCCACCGAATATACCTTGCAACAACCGTACAGTCATGGCTTGCTCGATATTTTTGCACAGTCCAAAGACAGCACATGTGATGGAGCCCCCGAGCAGACATACGATCAAGACGATACGGCATCCGTACTTGTCAGCTAGAGTGGCCTAAGAAAGGGAGGACGGTTAGTGGGGTTGCAATCAAATAGGAGGAGTCTTACCCAAAGAAGCGAAGTCGCGAACTGCGTCAAGAAGAAGACCGATACTGTTGAGACGCATCAGACGGCCAGACTGGCCGATAGGTCGATGGAATACCTAGTATGCCGGTCCAGAACGCGACCTCCGCGTCGTCCGCTAAAACGCCAAAATCTATACTCCTGCTTGAGTGCGACTCGAAGACAAGAACGACGACACCGACCTTTAACCATGAACAGCAAAAATGGTGTTGAGACGTTCGCCAACAGGAATTCTCCTAGCATCGTCTGTGATACTTCTTATCAGAGAGAATGGAGACCAGAAGTAGGAATCGACGTACAATTGATAGAACAATAATGGAAAGAATTGGCAATGACGTGGAGTAGACATCTGAAGACGGAAGTACTGTGGGCACTGCCATCCTCTCCATTTGCTCCTCGTTTCCATCCTCCCTCCACCGTGAAGAACGACATTCGTCTCGGTCGCCATTGAGCAGGCGGCTCATGGCCCGACGAAAAGAGGCTCCTTCGAGGTCTTGTCGGGAGGTCTCGTTTCCGCCGTGGTTCATCGACTCTTCATCACCAACAGGTCTGAGATACGGAGAGCTCATCATAGGAGTCGGAAAAGACGACGAGAACAGTTGCCGTGGCTCCTTTTTAGCATCACTGATAGAAAAAGGGATTACACCACTCTACTCGGGCATCGAAGCACAAATCACTCACCGTTATCTACAATTGATGGGCTGGCAAAATTCACGCAGGTGCTTGTTGTACAGCATGCCACGCTTAGAACAAAGAGCCGTCGATGGAAAGGTTCCGGAATTCAAAAGATGTGGTGCGAGAGCCGGATATGAAGATTGACCTGGGACTGCGATATGATAGCAACGAAGAAAACCATCCTACGTTGTCCGAGAACTTTTTTTTTTTCCTCTTCGACGCGTCCGATATTCGAGGCCTGTCACATCAAGGCCGACGACTTCGTATCTGCTGTACGGTGGGAGTGTCTAGGGCGCGCAAGACGATACTGCACTGTCTATATAGAGCTTCTGGGCAACGCCATCGAGGAAAGTGTCATTTGAACATTTCTACACATGGAAGAGTACACAGAACTCTGCCAAAAAGACGTAAAGAAATCAACGCAAGCCAGACAAAAATAACCTGACGCACATGCCATTTTCAGTACCATAGAGTTCTCCTGGCTTTGAGCCTTCTATCTGCGATCAAAGAGAGCAATTGAGGCCCTGAATTCCCATAAAGCGACTGGATAGAGGACACCGGATCTTCTTCGAAGTCGGAAGTTCTGTCGGAACAGATAGAGCTTGCCAGCGCCGAACAAATGTTGCATATGGATGTCCGCTTGTACTACCGGAGTGACCACGGACCAGGCAAGCATAACGCCTAAAATCGGCTGGTTAGCAAGCCCGCAAGAGACGGTGGAAACAGGCGTACAGTGATCCAGCTACAGGCAGATAATCGCGAAGGCTGACTTCTCCGTGCGATCTAGTTGAGCATTTCGGTACCCCGTTAGTCCGGTCCCTATTATTGTATACTTCCAAGACGGTGAGAGTAATAATAGCCGGTGCAAGATAAGGACGCTTCGATGCCATGGATATGAGGTGGTGGGAGTAAGAGGAAGAGATGTAATCTTTGTTTATTTGGTCGCGGCACGCACGTCGACCCTAACCCTCATTCATCCCCACGCCTGTACTAATACTATTATTCCCTTTCATTTTCCTCAGCGGCTGCTCAAGCACTTTCTGTCTACGCTGAGCTATCGCAGCCAGACCTATGGGGAACGCTCTTATCGCGTCTCCGACTTTCGGAAAGAACATTATGGCACAGCGATACTTGCACTTTCCCAGCAAGTCGGCTATGGATGGGCTGTCGATAAGGACACCGGGTGCGTTCGCTTCTTCTCTTCGATGGCTCCTTCTTTTCTCATTGATTTTCGCCAGAAGAGCTGGGTATTTGCACCTTTGCGGATTACGAGTGCGGCGCTGCCTTCGTCGACGAGTCCAGTGAGCGCCATTTTCTTCTGTCAAGAAAAGTTTAGACCGATCTTTTGCCAGGGCGACTATCATTGCTTGTTTTGAATACACTTCAGCCTTTTTGATAGTACCCGTGGCCGCAGCCATGGTGGTGGTGCGGTGTTGCTCTTTCATCCTATCTCTTGCAGATTGTCCATACACGCCTTCGTTTCTCGATATCCAATCCGCCTTGACGCACGTTGACGATGAAAGGGGGTCATATTCCCTCGTGCGTCGTCAGCTCACTTATTTGTAGGCTGATTCTCACCCGTTTTGAGCTGGCTATACGCGCAATAGACGGACCGTCTCGTCTCGCTCCCAGGTAGTCAGCGGATGACAGATGGAAATCCGCCCTAGACCATACTGATACTGAGGTATTCTTAGAGCATTGGCCCTGCATCCATGTCCTCGCTTTCTCCACTGGTGCGTACTTTAGTATCGAACCTTCCGGATCCTTACCTTTAGCATCTTTACTAGTCAGATGAAACGTGAATCGTTAATGTCGCACTGGCCTTGACCATACCGATTCCTACTGTGTACGGTCTATGCTTTGGTACCCTATTCTCGGAATCATGGAATATTCATCTTGTAGATGTCTCGTATGTTGATTCACTACGATAGTCTTTCTTTTTTTCCCCCCCCTCATGTCTCAATTGTAGCCTCTCACCAATTCCATGTTTGAAACTTGGTGAAGCATGAGAATTCCATCTGTCAACTTTCACGACATTTGGTCTAGAATGCTATGCATCTTTAAGCATCGTACGGCTTGGTATGCTAAGTTTACAAAGGAGGAGCTACGTACTGCCTTCGGGACCGTAGGTTTCACTTGATCGTTGTGCTCAAAGATAGACTTGGCTCACTCTGGTGTACAGGCTAATACGACGCCTGCCACTGTATCTCCCTCTGTTCTCCGTCTCACACAATCAATCGTTCATTTGTGTGTGCTTCGTCGGCACTAGTGGAGATGTCTATGTTTCGATCGTACACAGACAAAGTTGTTTTTTTTCTGGTACAGCGTGATTTTTCTGTTAAGGGGTTCCCCTACTTAAACATTGCTGCGCGGGTGGAAATTATCTTTCTCGCTCCCATTCACCCACACATCCCTATCTGATGGTTTCTCCATTTGCTCTCCTCTCTTCGGTTGCCGGTGTCGCTTATGCTCAATACACTTCTAACTATCTACCGAGCAACGCTCCCGCAACATCCGCAGAGGGCCAGGCTGGTACCAACCAGTGCGGCACAAGAAACGACCAAAAGTCGAACTGTCAAAATGCCTACAGTAAGTGGCCTTTACAGTCATCTAACAGGCGCACGCTAACGTTCCCGGCAGTTAATGGTATCCAGGACTTGTAAGTTGCCTTGATAGCTGGCTTACATCCCCGTCTTAATCTCATGCAGCTGCCTCTGGGGTCCCCCTGACCTGGGCCCGAACTCCACCGTTGGAGAGACTGAGGTATGTTCAGCGAAATTTGAGTCACCTGCGGCTTAGGCTTATTCAACTCGTGTAGCGTTTCGAAGTTTCTTGGTGTCTTCAGGCGAATATTCTTCATGTCACGTATTTACGTCGATTTCTTATCTTCTCGTAGCAAGGCTATGGTACTCGCACGATCCCGGACGGCACTATCACCGGCGCTCATTTCGTCAAGACGCCCGACTTTGTGAGTCAAAGCGAAAGACGAGCAACCGTGTACTGAATCCTTACATCTCTCGCAGGTCCAAGTCACAGGCGTTGGACTTTTAACAAAGATAAATATCCCAGGTGGCGACCTTGGAGCAGAGCTGGATCCCCACGGAACAGATGGAAATGGTACGCGTCCAGTCAAAGCGTCTTCGGATTTTTCTGACGGCGATTTATTTAGGTAACCCAGTTGGAGGTCTAGTCTTTTCATCAGCGTTCGGAGCTCTCCAGCAAATACACGACTGGACGGTAGACCATAGTTCCACTACTACCGGGTTGTATGTGCTGATCGAAATTGCAGAGCTTCATAGGTTCCGACCAATTCTGCTTCCGGGCATGTAACCCTGAAAGGCCCAACGGTGCAGTGTGGTGTGGGTATCCCTTCCACCTCAGGCTTTTTCCATTCCTCACTCTTGTGGCAGGCCAACACATATACGACGTAATGGGTTGTGCATGGAACATGCCTGCTAATTACGACCCCGGACTATTCGAATCGTGCCAGGGTGAGAGTGGCGAGGTACGTTCACGTTTGGATATCTCTTCCGATCCATATCTATATAACTGTCCCTAGCCTATGGGCGTTTACGATGGGTTGACCTGGTTGCAAGGACAGGCCTGGACGCCTGCTGCCCACCCCATGCCTCCCTCCTCGCTGTGCACCACCGTCACATCTCCAGGCGGCACCCCCACTACAAGTACTACCCCTCCTTCTACAATCATATCGGTAAGTCCTAAAGTGCATGCAAGTGGGATATAGCTTACCGTTTCTGTGATCAGCCACCATCATCCATTCCGGCAGTCCCAACAAGTCGATCATCACGTGTGCAGGTTACAGCTTTCTTGACTGCCACCACATCGGTAAGTCCTGAAGTGCATGCAAGTGGGATATAGCTCACCGTTTCTGTGATTAGCCACCATCATCCGTCCGAAAAAGTGGATCGTCACGAGGGCAGGCTACCGATTTCTCGGAGGAGTTCTCTGGCGCGCTTTCTAATCGGTCCGTGCATGGATGGCGTAGATATGTGTTTTCGGCTGGACTTGCTTTGATAACCTCTTACGTTGGTGCTGTCCTGTTATAATACGGTGTTCGCGTTCTTTTGTTCATTATTGGTTTGTTTCGAAAATTGATACTTTTCCTCTTTTGTTCGGGATCGTATTCGTAAGAACATTTGGTTGGTTGGATGTGACCGCGTCTTTACTTTATTTGTAATTATCTGCTGTGTCTACATATTGAAGTAAGAGCTCTTCATTCTCATCGGGAAATGTAGTTCTTTCGCGGTTTTTTGATCTTTTTTAAAAAATTCCACTGTTCTATTATTATGCTAATCTATGATTTCTGCCATCGTCCGACTTGGGTTAGCAGCTTCGCTGCACGATGAAGATGACGAGCGACGTACCCGCCTTCTTCTAAACCTTTCGCCAAACAATCAATACAAGGCGTGGTAACCGAATCGAACATACCGCACAGACGAACTCTCCGCTGAGGAGCTATTTACGCAGCCGACTATATTGCGTCGAAAGCTGGTGACTTATGAGACTTTTCTGGCTGGTTATCATCATCTTCGGAGTCTTTTCGCTGTGTAAATTCTTAGAGAGTCGGAAGGCTAGATAGATACCTCTGCTTACCGGGAGCTGCAGGATCTTCGCCTTTATTTTGTATTGTTCTGTGTTAATAAAACTCTGTCTACTCAAACGAAAGACACACTCTACCTGATCACTCGGGTTTCGCCGTGGCGGCCAATTTTTCTGTCCTCGTGGTGGTGGCTGGCCTCTTGGGTCATGAGAGCCCATTCTGCGACATATCATGCTCTCCAAAATTACGACAATTGTTTCCCGCGTTCGCCGGCAGAGACGCCTCAGAATGGTTCCACCCAGAGATGCCTGCAGAGGGTAGTGAAAGCCATATATATATATATGTTAACAGGCAGGGATTGGCCAATAAGTATACCGTACGAGAGAACTCGAGAAGCCATTGAAGCAGCCGACTATCCTGTGTCTAGATCCATGATAAAGGGAGTTGTGATAATTGAATGGGATCGAAAATCATCGCCACATCAAGGCGCGTCTAGAACTTCTAATCATCATGACAGGGAACACACTATTCTCTGTGCTCGGATACACTTTCTCTTGTTAGGGCATGGGCTGTGTTAAAGTGAGCCACAGCACTATCCCTTGGAGGTGAAGAAGAACCAGAGCCGTCTGAGTAACACATTCCACCGAACCGAGGTGTGGAGGCTGACATCGGGGCTGTGAGTCCATTTATAAAGACGCTAGCCAAATGAAAAGAAAAGGAAAGAAAAAGAGAACGGGAGAAATTTGTCCTCGATCGGGAAGGTGCTCCCTCCTTCCGCCCTGGGGGCCAGGTTCGGATGCGAAAGATCCAATTTGAACCAGCTTGAAAAAGGCTATTTATGGGTGGACGACCTGCACGAGGCGGATAAATGTTGTGGCAAATCGGATGGGGGGAGAAGCTATTAATGATCGGCACGGTGACGAGAAGTAATTATGTAGTGACCCATGAGCCAAGCCTATGGCTCTATAACGGTGGATAGATATGTATAAAGTTTTCGATGGTAGTATGTAACAAAGTCTAAGGGGGGCCCGAGAAGAATTCGTGCACTCGTTACACAGATATCTCATTTATGGGAATGGGACATTGGAGCCTTGAGGAGGGATTGAGGATAAGATTTACGCGAAGGTTGGAGCGATGACAGAAACTTTGATGGATTGATCTTGAAGGAGCAGAGCCACAAAACTATGTGGCTCAATGGTCTAGTAGTATGATTCGCGCTTCGGGGTGACTAATCCTGTGCTTATGCTAGCATTATGTGCGAGGTCCCGGGTTCAACTCCCGGTTGAGCCCTCAATCCTTTTGCTTTGATATTTTTCTTGTATTTTTCCAAAAATGCGCCCAGACTTTGCATATCGCACCCGATGGTTCAAGGAACCAGGGAAGACTGATTGAATGTTGAGCTTTGATCACGCTTTCAGTATATGCTATTCCTTTCAGACCTGAACCGGACCCTCGGTCGACCTCCAATAAGTGTAGATATATTCTTATTTGGGCGATATAGCTGGGCTCTGCGACGTTACGATCCCCTGGAAGATAAGTGACATGGCATTCATTGCTTGCTTTCCCTTGTAATCTGTGCAACCGTTTATCATCTCTTCTCCGAGATATACCGTGACTTTAAAACATCTTTCGACACGATACCGCGGCCGTACCGTTGGTCTGTCGAAGCCCATCCCTAAATCTTCATCGCTGGTATGTTACCATATTTTATCCGATTTTCGCTTTTGCTGAATCAATAAAATTCCCTCTTCATTAGAGGCGAGCTCTGAATGTCGGATCTGCAGCGGTTTCTATTCGAAATTGATGCCGGTGCTTCGAGATCTGCACCCGTAGCATGTCAACTTGCATATCAGAGATCGCTCTGGGCTTTGAAGCATTACATCTCTGCCGGCTCCCAAAAAAGAAAAAAGAAAAGCTTTTCGCAGCCTAGCTTCATATAGATCATATTCTCCCTCCAAATCAAGTACGACATTTCCTTTATCTCTTGCCATATTTCACCTGTGAACTTTGTCACGGCGGTAAACAGCACATTGTTTGAGGGATCTCTTTTTGAACTACTCCCTCCGCCCCCCGCGGTTCCAGACCAGTCCACGATCAGGGTTTCCCTTGATACGGGTAAGTGAACCGCTCAGGGATTAAAATATCTTCTTACGGGTCGGTGCCGGGTCCAGGTACTCAGCAAGGTTCCAGAGAAGGTACTTTGTTTTGTGATCGACTTCAAGTGTGATCGACTATTTATTGTGTGAGCAGCCCCTCTACCCAACAGTGCTGTGGGTGCTCATCTGAAACGCGAAACTTTATTGACTTTGACTGCTGCGTAGGTATTTCGCATGAAGCCAGGGGGTAATGGAAGCTGAACTGAGTAATCCTCTTCGTCCCAGAAAGGAACATTATCGACTGGAGTGATGCTACTGTTGCTCCTGATTAAAAACCCTGTAAACCCTGGCTGATGTGTTTGTAGTTTACCCCTCACCGCTCGTATCTCTCTCTCCTTATCTTCGAGTTGGTGAAATGACGCAACCTCAAAATGATGCATATACCTATCCGAGGTTCGTAGCATGATTGCCTGAATTGTACAAAGGCCGCGGTAGCGACTGACGACAACTGCCAGGTAATGAATATATGATGGAAGTCAATGGCAACGTGGCCAGGCTCTCGGGAGAGAAAGACCTCAGAGGATGTGTGGCGTATACGCGACCATCATCGTGAGCAACTATGATCATCACAGAGAAAAATTTTTTCTCTTCTGGAACTCCAGTTTCTGAGTTCGTTACATGATGTAATTTTAACAAGTTACTGGACCAGTGATACGATCAAGGTGGGCGCACTGGACTTAGTAGCGTCGTCACTCGGGGTTAACACCCCGCATGATATGTTAATAATAAGGCAGTAATCTACGTCGTCGGACGACGCCCGCTAACTAAAAACAACAATTCACACGTTTCAAACTTTAGCGAAATGAATGGTACCCTTTAAGCTACGCTATATACTGCCAACGGTTGAGGCACGACGGCGGTGATAACGGAGGACCTGATGCATTCTTACTTGTATCAGAATGATCCTTCCCCACATTAGATCACTTTTGAGGCTATCGATGATGGTCCCTGCGACACCCTGCTGGTGGCTGTATGAGGGGCTTGGTCTGGTTCTAGTAAGCATCTTCCGCCGAGTGCTGGACGGATGCAATGCCTCGCACCAACTGCCAGCCTAACCAGACGGCCCGTCGACGCAGGACGGTAGTAACAGAAGACCACTGGACCAATGTTAAGAGAAAATAGCCGATACAAGAACGCTCGTAGTGTCATGGAAATATATACGCTAGGCATATGTTCACCCTCCCGAATCAACTTCTCTAATACAGTCGGCGAGCAATGTGGGGCCCTCCCCCATCAAATGAACTCCAGGTGCCGGAACCACATACCCCCAGCTTGCAATCTTCGTTCTAAACAAAATCAACCATCACCTCCCGCACTTTCGACCGTAGAAAAATGACATACGCGCTACTTCTTGAACCACCAACCGAACCTTGCTTCGCAGGGTGGGCAGCCTATCCTCCACGAACGCAGATCCATGTTGTGGGGCCACTGTTACTGTATAGTCATCGTAATCGCGGCACGCATATGGCTCACACGAGTGGGAATTACGGCTCGGACGACTGAGACCGTGGAGGTTTACGTTCACCTCGCGTAATGAGGCTCCCGACGTACGGGCGTCCAGCTGAGCCCATAGCAACGCCTTCTCAGACACATCGGGGCTGACCAGTTCGAGCGTGAGCGTTTCGATCGTGGGATTGAGCGGGATGGAGCCTATCCAGGCCAGGTTCGTAACTTGGTGGCCGATACTTATATATACGGATTTGAGGCGCCTGTGGTCGTCCATGCACAAGGGCGCGGCGATGTCCCCTTGTTTCAAGGCGTTAGCGGATTAGATTAGATAGATGTGGGGGATCTGGTGCATTACCGTTGTGGTTCACGAAAAAATCGAGATGCTCGAGTGTATCACGGGTGCTCGCTACGAGCCGTGCGAGGGAATTATGACGGTTTGAGGTGATAGAAAGCTCGCGGAGGCAGTCTATCCTCAATGGAGAGAACTCGTGCAGTATGAATCTGGATATGAGACCTAGGTCATCTTCAACGAGTCGAAGCGACTCAAGACAGAGATGACGGCCATCGTATTTGGCCCGGAGCCTTTCGATATTTATGTCCCTCGAGAATATCGTGATGTAGTTGAGCGATAAATGCCTGACAGTGGGGCTGCATTCATATAAAATACGCGCAATGCCTTCAAAACTGGAGAAAGTGAGATTATCGAGATCAAGAGACGTCAGTGACGGCGATCGAAACGTCTCGAGGAAAGATGTGAGAGGAGTTTCGTTCGCATCCCAAGATAAGGAGCCCCGATGACTGGAAATAGATACACGTTGCAGATTTCGGAGTAAATTAAGAATGAAGGGGAATCTAACTTTCTCCCTATGAACTAGATAGCCTGGAGTGCCCTCTAGGCCATCCTGTATGCTAAGGAACTTGACAAGGGGGGCAACGGGGAAGAAGTCTTCCCGAAGGAGGTTGTACAACGATTGGCATGTAAACTTGCTACCAACAAAGCAGTTAGGCAACGGCGCGTCAATGCCAGATTGGAAGATTATGACGTGGGAGTAAAGGTGCTTGCGACTGGAAGGCAGGAACGAACGAGCCACCAGAGAACATTCTCTCAGGGCTAGGATATTATCCTGCATACGATCGATAATCTCGTCGATAAGTTCCTGTGGCAGAGGTGGTTGCATGGTAGGGAAAGAGATGATGACTTTTGATGGGGGCCGGGCCGCGGCAGGCCAAAGGCAAATTGAGGTCACGAGGACAGGACGGACCCAGTGATCAAGCGGCCCCAGTGTCCAGCGTGAGTACGAGGACCCACATATTTGCCAATTAACCGAGAAAATTTAGAAGAAAGCTTCGACATCTAGCCTGCCATCATCGTTTTTTTAGAAAAACATACTTGCGAGGAAGCGCAGATAAACGCCGAGTACAGGTTCTTAAAGAATCATTAATCATTAATCAAGATGTGGAATCACCAACAACTTCCTCTCCAACTGAATACCTTTCTCCGTTCCCCGAAACTCGAGTACGGTTTCCTGTCGAAAAAAAACACATTAAGTTGGTACATACGTACGTACCTGTACACCGACATCGCCTATTTCGCCAACAACCCCCGACTCGGAGAGAAGCCAGCCTCGCCCCCCGGTTGATCAGAGTGGGAAAAACAAAGGAGCACCCCATCCGAAGCCACCAGTACCGGAAGCTTTTGAGAATCAACGCCGGATCCCTCGGCTCGTCGCGTCACAGGGTTCAACGGTTCGGAGAAGCAATCAGGTCCCGGAAATATATGACGCGAAACAGGGTCCGATTTATGTATGCATGCACGTGAATGAAAAAAAACGGAAGGTGGGAATCAACACGTGTAGATGCATGTATGTGTTCGTGTTCGTGTTCGTGGGCCGCCACTCAGAAACTCCCCCCCCCAACCCAATGTGCCAGTTGGAGGGGGGGGAACAACATGTAATGCTTACTCGACTGCAGTTAGGGATTTGACATGAGAATGAACGAAACACTAGTTCCCTTGGGCGGCCCCGCGTCCGACAGATTCGGACAGTATGATATTGAGATCACGGATATAGTGGAGTTGAATCGACAAGCAGATGGTAGAAGCGCCCTCGCGGAAGAAGCAGGTGCCTTTGGCTTGTATAATAAAGAAGGACAAGTAGGAGAGATCGGCCCGAATTCGTTCTATTATCGGTATATGGCTAACCTTCAACAGAGGGAGGGAGAAGCATCACCTCAGCGTCTGTCCACTGGTTCATTTATTGGTGTGTTCTAGGCCACGCGTAACACATCCTTCTCCATACTAGCCTCTTGATATTAGTACGTGCTTTTCCTTTTGTGACGAACATCAGCGAGGTAATTAACGTATCCGACTCAAGGGAACAAAAAAAAAAAAATAACATACCAGTGCTGCGAGGTCTGGAAAGCTGCTCACTCCATCACGTGTCAACCTCGGCCTCCTATCATGCTGTGGGGGGGGAAGAACCAATCTTGCTGCCTCTGCCGCCGCAAGAGAGGTTTCACCGCCCTCCGTTACGACAAAACTCGGCTTTACCTGCGTGCGTGAGACCAGATGACGAATATTCGATTGTATGCCCGTGCATCAAAACACATGTGAGGTCTCTAATCAGCACGAACCAACCAGTGCACCATCGAGCTTCTTCGAAGCTAGAAGAGTGTTGTTGGGAAACACCGTACATCTCAACGTGAGAAGATATTCGCACTGCTGGGTCCTCTCTTCCGTCTCTGAAACTTACAACGCCGACCTCGGTTCCAGGAACGTGGAAATCGGTGCATAAAATACATAATAATGTTGTATTGCACTAAACCATCTCTGATTGATGTGTTAAACCTCAACATGCACTCACATCTTTTTTTCTTTATCTCTCTCTCAGTTTAGAATACAACACACATGTGGTGGAATATGTGAGGGCTTATTTTATATGTGCCGACCCCGAGCGCCGCGTGGGAAACGGGGGAGGCGGTGGATAAGTGCGCCCGACCGTGACCACCATCAATCACACTGATGTCAATCCAGGCATTGCCAAATAACTTTTTGGTTTCCGCCTCTGTAGTATACGAATCTGATGTTCTCCGCCACGTACCACGGCGTCCGAGCGTTTTTTTCCTTCGAGATGCAAAAGAACAATCCGAACGTAACGAGAGGGGGAGGGGGGGACGAATACCAAAGCCAGTGCGGTATCCCCGACCATCAATGGGCGGCACCTATCGTAGGCCAGATCCTGTCCCTCGGATATACCCCGTCGGGTCTCGGCCTCACAGTGAACCGCAGCAACCCTCCAGTCAATTTCATCGTTTGGTTGATGCACCGTCAAAACTCCGTCGTGCCTCGCGCGTATGTTACGTCTCCTGATTAGCATGCAGGAATGCTGTGGTGGATGCATATGACGAGTCGGCTGGCGCACAGGGGTTAACGCTGTGATAGCAGTGGGATTGTACGTATCTTGTGGAGACACCGAGGGAGAACCTTGAGTGCTCTCGGATCAAGGAAACGCTAAGAGATAACACCTTGCTGCAAAGTTGACTGCGAAAAGAGATGGTTGTCAAAGATGGAGCAGGCGTTCGTTGTTACCGGTAAAGGAAATGGGGTAGACAAATCCTAGACACCAATACAAGGTCGAAGATAGCGGCATATAACCAGGTTAAGAGGCAAGGAAGAGGCGTCCCAAGGGCATGACTTCTTCAAAGAAACGGTATTTTCGAAAGCACTGAGCACCTGCTCCGTCGCAGATTGAGCTGCAGATGTCGCCACGACCTAGAACCTCGCCTTCGCATCATGGGTACCACCACAATTGATGAATCTGCCACAAAGAAGCGGAAGGCCATTCGCGGGTAATCCGAAAGCCAATTAGAGAAAGACATGAGGAGAGAGAGAAGGATGAAATTCCAAAAAAAAAAAAAGATTAGAGGGGTGTTGGTGGTGGGCGACGACGTGGTGGCGTGTTGTAATTTAAATGCCTCCCATTTTGGGACGAGCAGGCACCATTCGTGGGCGGTTTGGGCGGACAGGTTTCAGGATTCGAGCCCAGAGAAATATGCCAATCGGTTTTGTTCGAACCGTTTACTATATACCACAGTACAATTACACAACTATATAGACAGGACCCGTAAGTAGTAGATAGAGGACGAGATAGTAGAAAGCTCAGCATGTCGACGGTGTTGATACATTTAATAACTGCGAGTGATCAACGCAAAGTGGGAGCTGGTGGGAGGGGTAGGGGGAATAATAAGTTACTCTGGCCAGCGGGTTCTAAGCTAGGTCTGCTGGACCAAACCACCTTTCAAGCCACCCTTCCACGCTCCATGCCCAAGGCTCACCTCCTGCTGATAATACGGCTGTGGCTGGTGGATATAGTGCCTCTCCGCCACACCCAGCGAATCGCGCCGCCCGCCCTGTATGGGCGCCAACACCGGGGGCGGACTCTCGTACCGGTACTCCGCCTGGTCGTACACCGCAGGATACGACGCGGGCGTCGGCGGGCCCGAGCTGTTGCTCTCGGGCGAGGGAGGCGAGATATGGGATATGGAATGCCGCGAGGACGCCGAGGAGGCGACCTCGTAGTACTGCGTCGGCGGGGAGGGCGTCGTGTGGACGTAGGTGTACCCAGAGCCAGGCTGCTCCTGGTAGGTGGACGTACTGGTGCGATATGAGTACGTGGTCGACGTCGGCGTGGGCGGCATGGAAAGGTGGGAGTAGGGCGAGTCGGGGGAGGCGGGCTCGGGGGAGCGCAGCGCCGTCGCGGGGAGCGTCGCTTGCGTCAGGGGCGGTGGGGAGTCGGGCGGGGACTGCGATTGGTGGCTGTAGAGCCTCGCGGGCTCGAGGGCGGGGGGCGGCGACAAACCGCGTTTGGTGGGGCTGTTCATGACGCGTGAGATGACTGAGCGCGCCGAGTTGCGTCGTGACCCTGGGGACAGGTGGATACGATAACTTTGGATGAGGCCCGTCAGTGGCGGTGTGGTGGTGGGAGATGGATTAGCTAATTGGAACTCACTGCTGTTGGAGGTTGTCCTGCCTCGAACACCTCGTCTCACAGCCTGGGAACGGACACTTGTGGTTCCGCTCGCCAGTGTGGACTCGCGAATGTCGTGCAAGATGGCCGCTCGTCGTAAACGCGCGGTCACAGGTACCACATATATGCTTCTTCTTAGCGCCAGCAGTCGTTCCCTGCGCAGTCGACGACATTCCAGCCAGAGTCAAAGTTGTAGTTGTCGTCGTCGTTGTCGTCGTCGTCGTCGAATGAGCGACCTTGGTGGGTTCTGCTCGGGGCATGTTATATGAACCAGAATGAGAGGAAATCGAGATACAGCCTCAAAAAGGCGCGACCCGTTTATGTTCTCTTCCTTGGCTCCGTGGTCTGTACGTAATTCCAATCTTTCGTTCCAATTTGCATTTGGCCCAATTCAATAAAAATCATTTAAAAATCCCGTTGAACCGAGCTGGCTCGCTTCTCTACTGGGTGGCCCCCACCCTTCGCGACCAAGTTACCCGTGGTTTCACGTGTTGCTTCATTTGTTTCCTCGTTCATTGCCGACAAACAGCCTCCCACTGACATCGAATCGCAGTATTTCACTATCCGTCCATCTCTTCACCCACGTTTTCTCTCCTTGTCCTCCTTCTTTCCTTCCTTCATCTCTAACCAAACGTAATAGCGTCATTCAATACTCCGTCGACGACACCACCACCACCACCACCCACCTTCCTTGTCTCGTCCTCATATACATTTTACGACACTCCATAACCTAACCGAAATGTTTATTTCCTTCGAAGCCAATTCCTGGCTAAACCTTTTTCAGTGGCGGACGGATTTTCAATTATTTCTGTCCTGTCGTATTTTTTTTCCCATCTGCTAAATCCTATATCGTCATCAGATCTAGATCCTCAGGTAGCCTTTCCGACTTTTTTTTTCCTCACCTTCTTCCTTCCTTCCTTCCTTCGTCGAAATTGCTCCTGCTTGGAGAAATGCGCACTCACGGTTTGTTTTTCTTTGGTGAACGGGACCCTCCGAATTCATTCCATCCTAATTTCCAATCCCACAAACGGCTGCCACCCCTCCCCCCCCCTCTTCTGTCACCGACCCAATGGAGCTTCCCGAAATTTCGGAAGATTCCCTCTTTTCCCTTTTATTGGGCAACTCAGAGCCGGCGATATGGTATGCTCGTTACGGTCGTCTATCATTGTTCGAATGAAACCCCCTCCTGCCCTTATTGCCGACGACATCAGACCCTGATCAACCTAACCAAGATATGACATTGTCAATTAGTTGGTAAGTTGGTATCTGTCTGCAACATATGAGTCCAGAAGGTTCGAGAGCAAACGTTCAACCATAACGTTTTTTTTTCCAAGCTTCGAGTGGCGCAGCAGAAGTACCTTTCTTTCGCGGCAGAAGACGTTGCAATCGTGGGTTCAGGGAGACGATGGTGGGAAGTAGTTTTTTTTTGGAAATTTCTAACGGTTCCGTGCGACCGCAACCTTGAGCCTTGAGATTTACGCCTGCACGAATCTTGGGGACACGAACCTCAACCTGCCTCTACTTTCTCTGCTTTCCCCGCACGGTGTGGGGCAGGCGTCCTCATTCCATCAAATTACGGTGATTACAACCTTGAACGGTAGCTTGTTGGCCCTTCGCGCGCCCTATGGAGTCTGCGCTCTCCCCAGCATCAAGCAGCCACGAACACGAACACGAACTTGAGGCGAACCCGGAGTCCAAAGATAAAGCCGCTTTCGAATCCTTGCCGAACCCAGGGCAGCAGCCTGCGCTCCCTTGTCAATTGATTTCTTGCCACTGCGTCGCTTCTTCCCCCCTATCATGAAGGGCGCGATATAAATAGCGCCGTTTCACGATGTGTTCACGTTTTAATTATGTCTTGTCAGAATATGTCGCTAAAACATTGTATGAGATAAGGAAGTGCAAGGGAAATTGAAACAGACATTGTGCTGCGAGACTTTCACTGCTCCGCGGCCGGTCCACGCCACTACTTCCTGTCCAGAGTATTTGAAAAGCCGATACTACCAGTGCCATCACTGTTGGCGCCCTCTTGGACCCGCGCCTCTGGCCTTTAGAGAATCCTGCAACTTCAATGATGTCACAGCTTTGATGTGTGTTCGACCCTCCCAACGACTGATAACCGTGGGCTCGTTCAGGCACGCACGCCATCAAATGGCTATCGCGTTCCCTTGAAGGAGATAGTTACAGGAGAGCGGAAGCTTTTAATTTTGATTTCCACGACTGGAATGTAAATGTGGAACCTGCAACTAGGATTCGAGCCCGAGGAGAAGCCAGCGAGAAAGAAAAAGAGCATTGGACATCGTTCGCGGGACAATATCGACATGAGAAGAATCGCACGCTTGACGTTCGGGCCCCATAGTGACTGGCATAGAAAGGACTTAGAGCTGCAAAGGGGCCTACATACGTCCAAGTCAATCATCGGTCCGAACATCCTGACAACATACGTTTCACTTACCCGTAATGGGACTGAATGTATTGAGAGCGAACAGAACGGAGTTTTTTCACAGATCGGCGTCTACCCTCTATGGCAGTAGCCAAAGATAATATAGGAGAGTAACTTTGGTTGGAGACGTCAATGCGTCCAATAAGACTCAGCAGAGACAAAACAGTTCACCTCTAACAGCTCCGAGAGGGACGGAATTGAACATGTACGCAGCTTGACTACAAGTAGCAACGAACTCCTTGATTTCCCTGTCCCTGCCTTATGGCCGACGAGGATTCATCGACATCAGGCCCTGAACCCTGATCACCAAGATAGGCCCATTGAACAAGAATAACGCCCTGAGGCATTCCTGAACTCGCGGGTCGAGTGTACTTGGAAGAGTTCACGACTCAGGACCGACATTCCGAACATTTTACTAGGACAAAAAGTTCAAAGATAAGAGCGACAGTGGTGAACGTCCGTACTTGGGTCTTGCTGTTTCACAAGCGAAATAGGTCTAACTCAAAACCGGTTCCTGCTGCTGTGCTTTGATATCATTTAAATCAGATGGTGGATAATCACGGACGTACACAGACGTCCATGATCCCTTGGGCCTTCTCGTAACCTCTGCTTCTTTCATCTCCCAGCGGTGAATTCTCTGGTTACGCATCGATGGACATATATGGCACGAACCTACACGGAGATTAGCCAATATGAATGTCTTCGGTAAAATTGGACATTACTTGCATCTTTCATTCAAAGTTCTGCCAGTGTCAAGAAAATGCGTGGTTCTGCACATCAGTATAACAAAATACCCGTTTTCCCGTTCGTGATCGCCTTGAAGCGCTTGCTTGAAACGGTCAATCTCTAACCCGGAGTACTAGTAGCATGTGATCTGTGTGTATATCATTGTCAGAGTGAAGGTCACTAACAAGGGGAAGATGATTACAAACACATGATAGAGAGTTTATCGTCGGGGGTAATAGCGTTTCCGACCTCTGACCCTTGATGCGGATAACTGTCTGCCACGCTGTGAGGCACTAGACGATACACGATAATCATTAGCACTCCCATAATCCATAGATAAAATCCCGTTTCCGCCCTTGGACTTTTTTTATTGGGCCTGCGGTATCCATGAACCGTAACCGTTGATCATCCGCTTGTAGGGAGCAGGATCTGTCCAAACTTGCCGTCGCTTCGAAGCCGTATAGTGGTGATATCCATCAGCCCTCACACAAACGTCGGTGGAGATAGGTGTAGAGTACGAGTTCACGGCGAAAAAATGTCATTGCAACCCCGGGCCACCACTACAACGTTGTGAATCGGTTCGAAGCATCTGAGCCGGTATCCACTTCAATGCCCGGCGGCCATGGGGAAGTATTGGTATTTTCAGAGCCCCGGCATCCTGATATCAGGGGACTAAAAAGAGCGATTCGGTGGAGACGCTAGCTCAGTATGAACAAACAACTCACGGATCCTTTTCTCGCAGTGGATAACCTCAAATTTCCCCGTCGCTTAGAGTTATAACCGTTCGGTAAAATCATCTACGCTGTGACAGGATGATTACAGCGTCATCATCGTATCACTGTATCAGGCCGATGCTCCATGGGCAAGGGGACTTCAAATTTGCCGCAGCGCAGAGAATGGAGGTTACCAAAGCATCGGAAAGCATAAGAGTTCTGTAGCAGGATTCATTGACATAACAGGGAGAGAGGGCAGTGATGGAGGTAGGAAAGAGATAAGAGGAGCCGGAGCGTAGTACGTCACGCGTTATTTGTCTGAGCTTGGACCAGAAGATGTCGCCAAATACCTGGCTACTTACCCGCCACCGTGACCTTCCAAACTTCCATCCCACGATGAACAGGGCGGCAACCATTCTTTCTTCGGCGTTGCTGGCCCTATCACTATAGACGGCACAATGTAGCGATGGGAAAACTGGACCTTGTCAGACGGAGCCTGAGGTGGACGTTTATGTCAGTAAAATGACATGGAAAACTTCCCCTTCATGGAGACTTGAAAGAAATCAGTATCATTTACAGCTCTCAAAGATAGGGCTGACAACGGGGACCTATTAAGCTTTCGTTCTCCTTTATTTAAAGTGCACCAGGTTCCAGCGTCCTGCATTCCTCTACAATTTTCTCAATTAGGCGACCGTTATGGTTATGGTTACCAAGGTGACTTTGTAAGGTTGCGGGACGAGGGCTCTTTTTAGACGGCGAATACTCCGCATGGGGATGACAGAAAGGCAGGTGCAGCGCTCTGTCCTTCCCTTTGTCTTCATATTCATATAATAGCCTTTACAGTACCGCATCAAATTCTACATCTCCTCTTGCCCTTTTCTCCCATATCTATCTTCACCTCTGGTATGTACATCTTTCACCCTGCTTTTTTGTATCTCAAGTTTGACTGTAGCGTTCCAATTGAGAAGATCAAAGACTTCGATGGCCGAGAACTCCAGACTAATTTCTCGGTACGTTCATCTCGAATAACTCAGTCTGCCTTTCACTGATGTTCGTAGTAGAAACGTTACGGAGGCTATTCCTCTTTGTCAACAATGCGAACACGCGTTCTTCCCATCCGACATTCGCCCATCGGCTTCTTTCGCAGAGCAGTGTCGCGGTTTCTATACCCCATCAAAGGGCCGAGGCAGAGATATCCTTCGCGAAATATCGCGTCTGGAAGGTGTTGTCAATGATTACGACCGCGAACTGACACGACTACGTGACATCGCTACTCAACTCGAATCAGGAAGAGCCCAAGTGCAAACCCACATCGACAGCTACACTAGCCTACTTTCTGCGCCAGTTCGTCGCCTGCGCAATCCCCTTTTCCAGTCGAACCATCCTTCCACTCTTTCTTTACCCGCCCATCATGACCCAGACAGAATTCTGAAGCGCATATTCACTTTTGCCTGCTATCGCGACGAAGACGAGCACGCCAACTCTCACCTTCAGTGGCTAACACCGCTGAAGATATCACACGTCTGCTCGCATTGGCGCAAGATATCCTTGGATTTGCCCGAGATGTGGTCATATCTAGACGTCAGCGGCGACCTAGATCCAGAGTCTAATCGGAAACTGTTGCACGCGTACATCGCCCGCGCTAGAACGGACACCCCGTTATCAGTCCGAATCGAGTTGGATAGGCATTTCTCCTACATGCAGCGTCACGTTCTCAACCTAATCCTGGATCACGCTGACCGATGGAGGGAGGCTATCATCGTCGTTGATCACCAACAGCTTTGGCGCTTCCTTTCCTTCCCCTTTGACATCCTGGAGAAGCTGGTCCTTCGTATTGGGAACATTCAAAGCAACCGTCCCGTCGATAATTTCAAATTCGCTCCTCGACTTCGTTATGTCAAAGTCGATGCAGCGCTGAGTGCTTTATCATTTCCCTTCAGTGTTCGACGCATAGACCTGAGGGGTCGGGCAGATCACTCAGACGTTGTTCGTCTTGAGGCACACCAACTCGATGTACCCGACCTTCATCTCTCTCTCTTCCCCGTATTCCGCGACGCACCCGTCCGGTTGACCAACCTCCAAGCGCTGACCGTCCATGCTCTCTCCCCCGATTTTGAGGCGTTCGCGCAAACGGTAACCATGCCCCACCTGAACCGTCTCAATATCGTCTTTGACAAAGACCACACGTACGACATCTCCTCCTTTCATTCCCTTCTCTCCACCGTCGAGCGCTCCGAATGCCAGCTTAGCGCGTTCAGCATGGACATGACGCATTGTCCTGGGAAGCACCATCAGTCGCACATAGAGAAGCTCCAGACTGACGAAAACGAGCTAAGGGATTTTTTGGATGCGATCCCTTCCATTACGGAGCTCCGTGTAGTCGAGCCTCGCGGTTCGAATTGCGAACACTGTAATATAATCACAATGCTGCTGTGGTGGCTCGTCGTCGCGGATTATTATGATACAAGTTCCTTGACTCTCCCCAATCTGAGGAAGCTGGAGCTTGTCTGGACGGCTGCGCCGGATGTAGGTGCGCTTGTCACTATGGTGCAGAGCAGGTTAGAGGAGCACGTGGTGGTTGAACGAGCCATGACCATGGACGTCGACAACGAAGAACGGCGTCAAAACGTAAGCGAAGGCGGGGGTGGTGACGGCACCAGCATGAGCGATGCTTATTCCGAAGGAAGTACTCGTTCGACTCAACGCGACAGCGACAGTGCTGTTCTTCTCAGCGCTCTAAAGTCTCTCGTTATCGGGACACGAGGAGAAGTAGAGGCGGACAGTTACATGTGGGAGTGGATGGAGGATATCAGAGCTCAGGGGATGGTGGTACATCTATGGTAGTCTTTTCTCCCCTTGTTCTCTTGGCATGTTGATTTCATTTTTCATTGGTACACTATTCATTGATACACTACTTAGTAAACCTATTATATGACCTACACTATATGCCTTCTTCATCATGCTATGCAGCCTTCCGGTAATAGGGCCTTCAATACATCACCAGTTAGCTGCCAGAATCGATTTGTGTTTGACTAGTTCACTGCGTATTTCGCTCATTTATTCTGTCCCCACACCCCCATTTATCAACCTAATTCCTTCAGATGTACCGTCAAGTTTATATTTGCTCTCTTTCTGAGCCGCAATGCGGTGCTACAAAATCGATGACAGACGGAAGCAAAAGGGGGCAGTACGTCACGCGTTATTTGTTTGAGTAGACGCTAGCAAATACCCAGTCTGAGTCTATTCATTCCTTTTTCTTGTGGACTGCCTTTTGCTACCCTACTGCATCTGTTCTTTCCCATTTCTCCCTATTTCTGTCTCCATCTCTGGGGTGGTAGTATTACTGCCTCCTTTTTGCATCACAAGCTGTTCGATGTTAGCGTTCTGATTGACAGAATTCTTTGTCTCTTCCCACGATGGCTAGGAAAAGAAAGTCAAAATCACGGTACGTTCTTTTCAATTAATTCAGTTGGTCCTTTTGGATCACATTGCCAATAGGAATGTCCCTCAGCCTATTTCTCTTCGTTGTCAATGCCGACACTCGCCCGTCTGTTCTTTTCACAGAGCAGCGTCGTAGTTTTTATGCCCCGTTAAACAGACAATGCAAGAAGATCGTCCGTGCACGTCTGCGCGACATTGTCACTCAGCTCGAATCAGGACACGCAGAAGCGGAAACTGACATCGACAACTACAGTAGCCTGGCTGCTGTGCCTATTCTTGGCCTTCTCAATCCCCCTGTCCAGTCAAATGCTTCACTCGCCTGCGTATTTTGACCCGGACAAGATTCTCAATCGCACACTCAATTCCTCCTGCCGCGATGAAGACGAGCACGCGAACTCTCACTTTCGGTGGTTAACGCCGCTGATGATATTACACATCTATTCTCATTGGCCCAAGCTATCCTTCCGCATCTGAAGACGCTGGAGCTCGTCTGAACGGCTTCTCCAGTCGTAGGTTCGCTCATAACTATGGTAGAGAGCCGGCCAGAGGAGCGTGTTGTAGTAGGAAGGAACGTGACCATGGTTCACGTCGAAGCTGAGGAAGAGATCAGAAGCGTCAACGAGGGCAAAAGTAACGACGACACTAGCATGAGCCATGCTTCTTTCCAGCCCTGTTGTTCGAGGATTCATTCAAATGAATGCAATAGCGACAATGCTGCCGTTGTCAGCGCTCTGAAGTCTCTGGTTATCTGCTCGCGAACAGAAAAAGAGGGGAACGGTACCATGATGAAATGAATGAACGAGCTGAGAGCCCGCGGTATGTATTTATGGTAGTCTTTCTTCTCGACATATTGGTTTCACTTTTCGTTGGTACATTATCACTCCACTAACGGGGATCGTGGTTTCGTCTACGACTCAATTATTCTACTTGTCGTTCTCTATGAGTTTGGCGAAGCAAGGTCACGTTTGGAGACAGTTTGTCTCGGATCTATGCAGGCGTCTGGAAATGACCGACCGTTCACCGGGATGGGTGAACCGGTCAGATTCGCCTCAGCTTCGGTGCGTCAGCCACAGGCCCCGCTGGTCCAGACTGGGTAATCATGACGATGTATCTTCGACCTCATCAATGAGTGTCCTGAACGAGTTCTACGTATCCAATCACATAGCCTTGTCGACGGCCAAGACATGTACGTTACTCGGCGCTTCCAACGGAGATTGCGGGAACGTAGGCAGTGGCTATATCACAAGGGTGATTTCTATTGAGTGATCCTCGGAGCAAAAGCTCCTGTGTCGATGACTTGTTCTGCAAGGCAGAGAAGCCCCGGAAGATGGGGTACAATTGTTTTGCCCTCTCGTGGATTTTGTGTGCTGATAGTGAGCTTCCATCTCCGCAGGGCAGATTCGCGGAAACTCGAGGTAGGTAAATCTCAGATCGGACTGTTTCCAAAGCCAGTGTCACCGCCGGTTGCGAATTACATATTCATTAAAGAGTAGGGATGCTAGTACTGTAGATATCACTAAGTTATCTCTTTGCTATCTCCTTGAGCCGCAAATGCGACACCATAAAATCGGTATCAGCCATTAACACACCGCCGCTTTCCTCTGCCCCAATCCAGGCAGCCGCTTCTACCCTGAAAGCTCTAGTCTCCTTGACCTTGAACAGCGAGATGGGTATAGGTATCATGAATTTGAGGTACCACCCATCGCGCATCAGCTCTTTTGCGTCGTCCCAGTCCTCTTCCTCTCCGTCCGAAAACTCGAATTCGTATTTCTTCTTCAAAGATAAACGCTGTACTTTGCACCGCCGTTTCTTCATAAACCAATTTGCCTCGGCAGTCATTCTCCATACGGGAAACGCACAGATGCCTAGGGAGCCATCGGACTTGCCCCACCCAACCGGCCCTCGGTAGTCGACGTGAAAATCTGATTGCATGTATCTGGGTTCAGGATCCGGGGTGGTTCTTGAAGATAATGGCGGTTCATAATCGAAGGACTGACATCGAAAGTCGATGTACCGAATGTCTGGGGTGTTTTCCATCGGAACATCCGCCCACCGCTCTGGATCCTTGAGGAGAAAGTGCATTCGAGCCGGTATCGCGATCACTTGACTAGAAGATAACCGGCGCGAATCAGAACGAGAAGAGGGGCACAAGCAGGAAAATTGACGAACCTGTCATCCATATCCCAAACATCAAAGAACTGTCTGCTCTTCTCGTAAAACGTCAGTGAGGCATTCATATCCCAGACCGTCGGACGGATGGCGGGCCTGGAACGGCAGGAATCGTTTTCTTTGGCTTTGGCTGTGTCGTCGTCCGCGCAAACGTCGTTCACGAGAAGCTTCTGGGGAAGATTGAACCGTTGGGGAACAAGGCGATTACTTGTCATGGAACAAAGATTGTCACGATGAGAAAACGGTAGTTTCTGTCCGAAAAAGTTCGTAACGTTGGTTGGTGGTGGTGGTGGGCCGGACACCAAGAAGGGTCTACGTAGAGCAATGGGGATTGGACGATTGTCTTCGTCGGGGATAGTAGGTATGTCGTCGTCGATACCAGGATAAACGATGATATCATCTCCATCTTCCAGCATGAGTTTGTTTGCTTCAAGCTCCTTCTTTAGCCCTTTTCGAGGGCGAACAGTCTCTGTGGAAGAGGACCTCTTCTTTGGAAACTTATACTGAGCAGCTTCATTCCCACGGCCTTTTGATGTTACACCACTTCGCGACTGTTGTCGATGTGAACGTCCTACGCGGAGAGTTTCTGTGGAGTCTGTTCTTTTGAGAGTAGGTCGAAAGGGCTCCGGAGTACATGGGCGGTCGTATATCTCTGGCTCGAGCGTCTGTGCGGGTGCAACATAGAGTTTGTTCGAGGCATACTGTCTGGTGAGGCGCTCCATGCAGGAAGACAGGAAAATGAGAAGTAAAAAGAAGTGAACGTTTAAAGGCAGATCTTAATGGTGGCAGATACCGAGTAAAGATCAACAATTAGATACACAAAGTAAAAGTGCCACTCACGGAACAAAGACTTGGCCTCAAGGCCTTTCTTTGTTTATGTGTGTGCGGATGCAATATAATTTCCCGTGATCACGGACATGAGGCGAGTACGAGCTAAAGTATTGCGGTGAGTCCCATAAGTATCCTCAAAGTTGCAGTACAAAAGACTACAACTTGCGGTTATTGCCCTGAAATTGTTAGCCTTAGCTCTACCCTCGAAAATCTGAATACCTACTAGCGGGCCTTGTTTCCCTATACAAAGATATTCTGAAAAATCTCCTTATGAGATTAATACAAGCCAATTTTTGAGTCAACAAGCAATTCGAGGATCACCGTCGCAGTCTTGTCGATCATTTATTTGATCTGGGTTGCTGGGAAATTTCGACAGCCCGGCATTTTCCACTCACTCGTGGCAATGACTCTTACGTGAGGGATCCTGATTCTCCCTAACGATATAAAACGTGGTCTCTGAAACGGCGCTCCAAATGCACGACTTATGTTTTGCTTTCTCGACTAGGATCAGCGTACAAAATCTCATCGATGCATGCTCGTCCTTGTCTTTGTTGTTCAAATTATTTGAAAAGAAAGGAAGCCTGGCGATCACATTTCCGGAAAAAGGAAACGCATCACACAGCCTTGCTACATGAGCTCGCGTGATGATCCTCTGCTGCTCGCTCGAGGAGTGGGATGTAACCGGCTATAACGAGGGCCTCGGAGACTGCCCTCAAATCAATTGCAACATGTGAATGGCTATCTAGTAATACAAGGGAGAGGTGGGTGGGGGACAAAAAACTCAACGACTTGTACAATAATGGTCCAGTAATACTGAATGAGGATTGGTTAAGTCTGGCGAAGCCAAGACTACTCGAGTGAGCCAATTGTGAGATAAATGAAGAGGTGGAGCCTCACCAGGCAACAGGAGTTACTGACAGGTGAAGGAGGAGGTGAAGCCTCGAAGCCTGGGATTGGTGGTCAGGAAAGATTGACAGTGAGAAAGTGGAGCTCATCTCACTTAGGGATGCGGGATGAAAGTGGGAATGGAGAAGAGATACCTGGCGCCGATGTCTCTCATGAATCAGCATCAGCCGAGACTTGGCACTGAGACAGAGACGGCACCGGCAATCCCTCTTCATGGACGAGCGGAGCTCTGTATCTCTGTGTCGACAGAGATTGTGACAACCTCGAGAGTCACGCAGAGGCCTGCGAAAACGCTCCCTACCCTTGGAATCCGCCTTTACGACGGCCTTTCGCGATCACACGGATGGATGACGTAATACGGCAGTCGTGTTCCGAGCGCAGTTGGACTCGTGCTGTACTTGTTTCTCACACTGCTAAGTTTCATTCAGTACTCCCAGCACCCAGATAGTGTCATGGCAGATGCACCTCGACATTTATCCTTTTCCCAAAGGATAACACTGCTCTGTGTGGCATGTCGTCTTCGTACGTAATCCATATTTAATCTGAAATCAGCTAACATTCGTTCGAGCCCAGTGATCTATTTCCCCTGGCGCCTGTTCGTTTCATTTTTCACCTATGAGCGCAATAACAGCTGGCGGAGAATCTGGACTATGGTCGTATTCGATGTCTTCCTGACGCATGGCAAAGGGCTCCCCGCGCCAAGTTCTTTCAGCAACTATGAATCTTGGACCAAGGCGGCCGGCCTGGAACCCACCGTCGAAGATCTTTGCAATGGCGCCAAGCTCCTCTGGGTCGGACCAAAAAGCCTGGACAAGGTGTTTTTTTATTGCCACGGTAAGTTATTCATCGCGCTTTTTTCTACGAAGGAAAATGCACATCCGAGCTTGAACCTGGTCGAGCCTTCCCATGCCAATAGCTCTCATTGTCCAGTATGAAAGATGTTCTCTTGGAGGCTTCCCTCAACTATCTGAATCGGACGTTTCTCTGACCAGTGTACGGTTTTCGCAACCGAGGTTGATGAGATCAAGTCTATTTTGTTCCTTAATTCTTGGCTCGTGAATATAGGCTGGACTGTTACTAAAAGCGCTGTTACAGGAGGAGGTTACAAAATTAGCCTGGGTGGAAAACAGCTATCTTGGCTGCGTTACATGCAACTAGAACTCGAAAAACGAGGTGTTAATATCGGTATCGCCGTCGTTTCATACAGTAAGTACAAAACCCGTGAACTTCTAGTCAGGCATTGATTTACATATCCATTGCAGATCTCCTCCCCAATGCCGTTTTCCCCAGCCAATTACGCGAAGCAACAGACGGTCTTAAGCGCCTCATATCAGCGGGTGTCTTACCGGAGAACATCATCATCGGTGGTGACTCTGCAGGAGGGAACCTCACACTCCAGCTTCTCTCCCACATACTCTATCCCCTACACTCGATAGAACCAGCCCCGGTCCGCTCGGACGCGCATTTTCGCGGTCTACTCCTCGTTTCACCCTTTGTCGGAGCGATGCAGGATGCGCAGATGCCTTTGTCACTCCTAGCTCCCCGACACGAGCGCGATTTTATCCCGGCGGAGTACCACAGTGGTGTTTGTCAGGATCTTCTTAGGGATGTCCCTCCAGATGACATTGCATACGTGGATGTTTTGGAGGGGCGAAAGGAGTGGTTCAAGCCTCTGAGTCAAACCGTTGGGCGCATCCTCGTCACAGTGGGGGAATGGGATTTTCTTCGGGAGAAGGGTGAGCGGCTTTATGAGGGGTATTTGAAGCCCTTTCATGGTGACATCAGGTTCGTGCTGGAGAAGGATGGGATTCATGTTACGCCGATCTTTGATTTTGTCGCGAAGGAGAAGCGGTTGAACGAGTTGACGCCCTTGATGATTGAGTGGTTGGCCGACACCATGAAGGAGTCTCGGTGAAGTCACCGTGATTATGGTGTAATAAGTGTAACTGCTAGATAGCATTTTCACGCAGAAAAATTGTCCGTGGATTTAAAACAGGAGGGAGCTAAAGACAACGTAGTGGGAATACCGTTGTGTATGATAACTGCGATCACTAAAGCGCAATGAAAGCAGGTGCGAATCAAAAGCGACAAATTAATAGACTCGAACACTTTTCGGCAGGTCCATGGACCATCAGAATCCAAAGGTCCTTCCTCCGGATGCAGGAGGCGTTGAGCGGACCGCTGCGCCAAGTCGGAATGTCAATGAGAGTAGAAAAGGGAGAGAATAGAAAATTTCTTGCAGGTGTACATATAGCTTGGCCCCGCCATCTGGTTGTACACAGGAAAGTGTGGCGGCGACGGATGGGGAAGCCCAGATTACGGCATAGATGATAGCGTCAAGGGGTTCAAGCTTCGAATTCAAGGGCTCAACGGCATCGACATCTGCAAAGATGTACGTTATTCAATCGCGACGTAGAATAGATAGCTCGAGAGATGGCTTTGGAATCAAAAGATACCAACTTTTACTACAACAATAAAAGACATTCTAAATCCGAGTCCTAGCTTGGCAAGCTGTTGATATTCACATTTCACGAGCGCCTCGGTTCGTTCCTGATTCAAGAGCAACGTTAAGATTTCGTGTCTGCGTGCAAACCGGAAGATCTGTTCAACTTCCTGATGTTAAGAAGGGTCGCAGTCGCGTAAGATATCAGATCTACATTTCACGGAAGTTCTTAATGGAAGTTGTCACACCGTCGACCAAGACCAAATCGAGACTAGCAGAGCCTAGCAACGCGAGGCACCGTGCAATGCGAATTCCAATTGAGACGCCACGTACGGTAAGCGGCATCTAGATGACTGGAAAGCTGTATTGGGTCTGGTATAACATCAATACGCAGGGAAAGAACATATCTAGAGCTCTGAAGTGATGTCAAACTTTCATCATTCTGATTGTGGGCCGGTCTCGCTTGATGTAGGCATTGACAGGGCGTCGAAGCCATATATGACTTATGCAATAAGAGCGGGTCCTGTCTAGTTATCTCTTGACCTGATTTGACTGTGAGTTCTTTCGGTGGATAAGAATTAGGGTATAAAGAGACAGGCCATGTGATAAAGCATTCAGGTTGTGGGGATACAGAGGGAGAGGATGACTGTGGCCTTTGATGTGATGCGTCATAACATGACGGTGAATACATACAGTTCAGAGACATCCCATATACCTTTGGTGTGGGCTGACAGGAGATTTGTCCGAAGATTCCAAGTGAAAATGGCCGATCACAGCAGCAGGCCATCTTCGCTGTTATGTAGTGTGATTGTGGTGGCGCCAGAGCGTCTTGCCGGTTAGCGCAATAAGATATTGCGGGATCGGAAACTAAATAATTTCGCATTCCTAGTTAATTATTCCGGTTCTTGATGACATACCCTTGCTTCTAGGTGTCAACTGAGATGAAAGCAGCTACAAGACGTGGCGGCGAATTGTCGCCCCAATTACGGAGTTATTGTACCAGATTGAAGAGTGTAATCGAGAAAGATGGTATGCGGTGGGACCTCGCCCGCAGGTCTGAGGTGAACGTATCACGGGAGGCTATCGACTTGTGAACGCGTCGCATTCCGTCTGGCGTTCCTTTGTGATTGTTTTTTTGTATTTGGGGATGCTGAGAGCACTTCAATCGAGAGAAAGGGATTCACAGATGCAGGAGTTACAGGAAAGATGAGCTGGCGTATGTCTTCCATCAACCGAGGAAATCCTTGTGAGGAGAAAAGCAAGCGTTCTCGAAAAATGTCCTTGGCATTCATGGCTGGTGGAAGAGAAACATATATCCCCTGTGATTGCGTTTTCTAGAGATTATCACGCATACTGTGTTATTCCCTGCCGTTGGCGTTCCAAACTGAACTTGTCCATGGCGAAAGCTTAACCCTAGTCCCATCGTTCATCATCGCGCGAGAGACGAATCGTCGCCCCAAACGTCCATCAAATGCCAACAGGCGCTTTATTACGCGGCATGTCGTTTGACCGAGCGGCAACGACGTCCGACCGTAGACAAGAAATGGGAGATTGACTCTGCGGAGCAAAGGTTGACGTGTACGGGATAGGGCTAGAATCGATAGATGATATCGAAGGCTCGCAGGCCACGATTTCCCGTTATGTATGTTGTTTCTGAGAGGATCTTGAAAACTTGAGGAACAGATAGTCAGGAGGCAGACCTCCCAGTCTAAGACGGAAGCACAGAAGACAGTGGTCAGTAAACATCGTGTTTACCATGGATTGCATTGTTGGATTAGCAAGCAGGAGCTCCGTCGTATCCCGCCGGCCGAGCTCGATACCCCTTTATGTCGGGATGGACTATATATATTGAATACGGTCCGTCGAGCACCCTCACCACGTTTCTGCTTATCGCTACGCTGTGTGAGGTCTACATTATAGCTAACAGTGTACTCTATTAGGTGCTACAAATGCACGTCACTTTCTTAGATGCATTAGCTGACCTCTGTAGAGAGTTGAAAGAACGGGTGCATAGGGTAAGTTATGAATAATTCGATGTCGGCTTAAATGAACATTCTCGGAGTGGTGTTCTTTATTCTTTCGAGCGTAATGGATTTTTTCCTTCCTCGTCGATGATCTAATCATCCTGTTCCACAATTCCGCCAGGAGAATCGAACTCGAAGTGAGTGGTAAGGGAATAGAAACCTACACCTATCTCGTGTGCTACTGCGACGAATGCAAACATGCAATCCTTACCGACAATCTCTGATGCCAATGAGAGCGTCGCACGGTTCTTCATTGTTGGTGCTAAAAAGCTGACCTCGATATTCTCCCCCATCTGCCTCCGAGATTTATGTACCCAGCCTCGCAGCAGATCCTTCACTATTGTTGCACTATCGATAACTAAATTCTCAGCAGAGGCTTTCATCTTTTTCGGTCATACAAGCTGACCACGCTCGCCTTCGACATCCAGAGCAAGGATGAAAGGAGATGAATATCCTCTGAGAAATAGGGTCCACGGACCAGACCTGTATCTGTCGCCCTTACCTGAAGTCGGTGGGTCGGCGGCGTGCCTATTCCCTCAAAAATGTCCACCCGCTTCCTTCGACATGTTCACACAGATCGTCCCAGCCTTGTCTGTATAAACAGCTACATCTCTAATGTACCCTCTTCCCACTCCCAACTTCGTCATGTCGGTACGCTCTTTATGGCAGAGAAACATTGCTCCACCAGGGCATTGCGTGTCATTCAGCCTTACATTTCGGAGAGGACCTTACTCCTTGGACCTGGTGCGTCGTTTCGAACGGCACCCACATAGAATTTTGCTTCTCTCCTGGCTGTCTTTATCCGATGTGGATTGAAGTACGGCTGTAGCGGGCAACTGGTTGGTGGAGCGTACGGCCATGAGAGGCGAACGGAAGTAACCGCGGAGGAAGGAAACGATAATGAAAGAGGGACCAGTTGAACAGACAAGGAAATAAAAAGCAATCATCAGGCAATGTGAAACGTAAACTATGATAAACGCGCTTCATTCGGCCTTCGGTATTGAGCTGCTGCTGGTCCCAAGCATTGCCCTGATGACAGAGCAGAGAACAAGACAGGACCGTCCAACATCGCTGCATCTGTTCCACATATCTCAGCACTCATAGAGGAGTATGTAGGCATTTTCATCGCACTCCTAGATGATCTGATGATTCTACACAAACTCTGATCGGCACCTCAGGATATAGAGGCGGGACGCGCAAGGGATTGGATCTCACAATAAGCGGCATCACTCCCACTGAATCACGTTATTTTCCTTCAAGTTCTCATCCTGACTCTTACGGTGGCGTCCTTTTACGCACCCTCCGTGACTTGAACTCTGGAAAAATCATTTCGGGTCCATCTCTCCTTGTGGATCATATCCTACAGCTCCGCCGGGTGGAAATAATTCCACAGTTGGTCGAGAATCACTGGGAAAGACATTAACACCTTCAACAACACATGTTTGGGTGAAAGAAAAACTTGCATGTTCCTTCATCCATCCCCAAACACAAATACTGCACTCCACATATACAGATCCCCTTGCATCAGCCTAGATCTCTCCCATCCTGTCGCCACGGCTTCTTCCACTCACCCTCGAGTAGGTTTCATTTCCCGGCCTTACCGCTACTTTGTTCATCCCGAGAGGTTGACGGCAAATGGGCGAGCGCAGACACTGCTCGGCGTTCTTCCCCAGAAGGAGCTCTCCGGATTAAAAGACAAGACCCTGAACGCGTATCTGGCGGAATATCAGGCTGGTATCGATAGAAAGGCCAAGCTGGAGGAATTAATGGGTGCGCGTCAGAGAGGTATCTCATCGTCCCCGACAAAGTACATGAAATTGATGGGCTGTATTGAATACCTGAAAGCTGTCAAGTCTGCAGCTGGTGATGATGATGGAGCGAACTGAATTGTGAGGGTAAGTGGCTACTGAGATCTCGTCGTGTTCCTATATATCCGTGTCTTTAGGGTCATTGAGACAAGCTAGGCATGATTCGCCATGTTCTTCCTACTGCCGACGTGTCTCTTATGTGTATTTCATTTCCGTTATCGTTTCTCTGCCTATCTGCAAATATCGTCTCACCTGCGGGACGTCTCTATATGTAGAACCGTCCTCAGCTCCACCTGTTTATATCCAATCTCCTCTGTCCACTTCCATCTGAAGAACGGTGTTCGACGCCAACGCCGATGTCTCAGTCCAAGTTCTCCATTAGGATTTCAAGACCGAAATGCCACAGACTCCTTCCTCTGCTCCCTCTTCTGCGAAAAAATAAATTTCCACCGTCGTTCGAGTCAAGCTGATTTTCACGATTCGCTTGCCAGCTCAGTAACAAATTATCTATCTTCTCACTTTTCCACACGACCGAGCGGTGGGGACGACGGTGGTGCCCAACCGCCCTCGTACGAGCTACCCTACCCACTGTTCATCGGCAGTCGTGCCCTCCAGACACCCTTTGTTAGCATATCTCAGCTCAAGGGCCACCTATGTCTCTTGAGGCACTTTGCCTCCCTCAAGGAACGAGTCGAAGGGATGGACCATTCCAGATACCCAGATGCCCCCAGCGATAATCACTGCAAGTGGTCGTGGTTCGTCGGACTGGCCGTTGAGAGGTATGTTCCTTGGCGAATGGTAGACTGCCGAGACTTGACGGTATTCATTAGGTTCGAAAGATGGTGCAAGGCGCTGACAGCTCAAGATGAATCTGGTTTCGCTAACCAGCATCTGCCTCTTGTCGACGTTATCATGGTGAGCGATAGTACGTTTTGGTATCTAACGTGTTGCTAATTTCGAGCTGCACAGGTGTGGCATGCCTACTTGTTAAATCCTGCGTATCTTTCGCATGACGCATCGGTGATGTTACGTTGATGGCATATCAGGCGGTATTCTGAAGATTCGTTACGAAACAAGCACATCGAGATACTTACAAGAATGGGTGACTGGTTTCAGGACCTCGTATGGTTACCTTGAATTATTTTCTCGAGGTTGAGCTGACTGGACAGATTAGGAACGGACATGCTACACCATCGACTGGCCTCCGTCAGACGCCCGTGTCCAGAACTGGCTGCAGAAGACCCATCTCCCCTATGATCCTTTCGAGTCGGCAATGATATTGATTGAGCGAGAAATACTTTGCCCCAGATGTATTACGAAGGTCAACGTTCGTGAGTACTAGTACCGTTCTGTCTTGATAGTCATCTCTGAATGAGGTCTAGGCTTGGTGAATCCCACTGGCAATGGATATCTCCAGCAGGAGTTCACGACCACATGTCCGGGGTGCCAGCTGAATATTACGAAGGAAAAGCTGGCTTTTCATAAACTTGTGGACGACGTGAGGACCAGCAACGTCCTTGCGTACGTTCTGACTGCCGTCTCTTTCTTTCTGCTGATCGATACCTTTGACATCTAGCGGAACTCTTCACACGCCTTAGAATATCGACGATTCCGAGCGTGCGAGGGCTATCAAGTCCCGCATTTTGGAGATGAGGTCGCCGGAATTTATGAAGAGAAAGGCAAAAAATGAACAGCAATGGGCAGTCAAGGCAGAGGAGAAAATGGACTACAGCATGCAGAAACTTCGAAATGCTATGAGTGGGTATATTGCATACGAAGATCACCTGTATGTTGGGATTTTCTGTTTCTTTGGCAATCCTGATGTTGAAGTGTTAGGCTGTCTGGAATTATGAGTGCGTACGAAGACGACAAGATATTTTCCTTGGGTCTCGTCGGTGCAGTGGGTGCCTTTGTGAGCACTCTATAGACGGAATACTAACACCGTAGAGGTTCTCCGACAAGGATCCTTTGTTGACAAGATGCATAAACTAGGCTGGACAGACCTGGACTTTTTCTCATTCTCCGAGGATGAAGTACCGCTAAAGCACTGCATTGCTCGTTATCATGCGTAAGCATGTTGCCCTCTTGGTGTTTCTTGCTCAATGACCTCACACCAATCCAGATTCCTGGACCTGATATCATCGTCACCGGGTGGTTTCTTTGTCCCGACACTGGACATTGACCTGGTTTGGCATACTCACCAGCTCATGGCCCGGAAGTATTCCCGCGACTGTCTCGAATATGTCCGTCGATTCGTTGACCATGACGATAAGGTGGACGAAAACAGGCTTGCAAACGCCTTCGACATGACTTGTCGGGCATGGAAAGTACGTAATTCGCCCTCTGCTTTCTCTGCGGTCTACTGACCCTTCGCAGGACCGTTTCAGGATCGCATATACGCACTGCGGGTGTCCGCTCCCGGGCGACACGATTGGACAGAAAATAAGCAGACTTGTAACGATATATAAGCAGTCGGTGGCACCTTCTTACCTCGACCCACCCCGGGATCGAGATGATCTTCTTGCAGCGACACATCCGAGCGACCATAATACGGTATACTCGTTCCAGAACCGGCGGCAGCTTTACGCTCTGAGGCGAGGAAGGCGTGAGAAGCGAGAGAGGAGGATTAAGCGAGAGGAAGAGAAGGGAACTAGTGGGAACAGGAGCGTCGATCATGACCCGGCCTTTTTGATGCCCGTGTCGTTGTCTTTTGACTATGTAGGGTGTGTGACGAGGACGGGGCATGTAGTTGAAGGACGCAGGAGTGTAGAGCGACGTGCTGCTGCTGTACGTCTTTTCTGTATCATGATCTTACTTGGAACTTACTCTCGTTTTGTAGGGCACTGGTAGATCTAGAAGTAATAGTGACTCTGACCGTGGCGGGAGATGGGGTGATACCGCCAGTGGTATCCATCAAGTTTCATTCGGAGGGAGAGGTAGCGCAGGTTGTGGTAGTAGCGGGACTGGCTGCGGTGGCGGTGGTGGAGGAGACTGGTGGTGGTGGTGGTGGATGTGGTGGTGGAGATTAGTTGTTCCGCGAATCGCAGTATTTTCTAAATATGGTGCCTATGCTGTCTTTATGGTGATAATTTTTCAAAAAACAAAAATGAAAGGCAGCCAAGGTTTATTTTGAGGCTACTTTTCATAAGACAACCGGGATTGAAAGATATATGGAATACTGTGTCTATGGAATACATGACTGATATGCTCTATACACCAATTATATCAATACTCAGTATTTACACATATTTGTTCTTATTATATAAGGTACTATTACCCTGGAGACAATCTATGACAGATAAGGCAAGTTCATTATTGCTATTTTACAAAACAAGTGACTTTTGTTTTATTTTTAAAAATCAGAAATTAACTATCTTAATTGAGATTATCAAAAGTGTGCTCTATCTTAGGCAATTACATCTCCATTGATTCTGTGGAAGTCTTCCAAGGTGCTGATACAAATATATATAAACAATTAATGATTGAAGTTGTTTATTTATTGTTGGCCACCTTATTTAAGATGGTAACTAGATAGAGATTATTTTACAGACACTTAATGTAGTATCAGTCTTCAGCCTTGTTCTCCTTCTGTAACAGCTAGAAGTCTATTTCTATTTTGAAATAATGGCTTGATGGTGAATTTCAAATATAATGATAAAGCAGATCACTGAGTTTGATGGCTTTTGAGCTTAGTAATACCTCATTCTTCTTTGTACAGCCACAAATCTAAACCTCAAAAGATCTTCAGCATTTCACAAATCAAAGATATTATGGCCCAACTGGTAATTCTCAAAAAAATTCACTGCACTATCAAATCATTATAGAATCACTGAATGACATTATATCACTATCCTCTATTTCTGCTTTATAAGCATTTTCTCATCTAAGAGTTAATCTTGTTTAACCAGAGTCTGGATTTTTATTATGATAATTTTCAGAAATTTGTAACATTTCTCAAACTTTCAACTATGTTGTCATTTCTGTACAGTCATCACTCAGTCTATTCTACACTACTATTGCTTTGTACCTTTGAATATAGCTTCTCTTTCTACTGTCTTATAGTTCTAATTTTGTCTTTATCCTATAGAATACACTTTAAATCATCATATCACTGATAACAATCTAGCCAAAAAACCTTATATTGATTCAGAAAAACACAAATACAGAATTAGGTGAGAATAAGAATATTAGATTTTATAATTTAGTATCTGAAATTGTTTTACTAGCCATATAAACAGACTTCTCCTGCAGAACTATAGGCTAAAGACTACTTGTTGTGGTATTATAGGCAAAATAAGCCAACAACCAGTCTTCAAAGCTGTGAGAAAATAGCTTAAATCAGAAAATCATAGCTCAAATTTGGTGCATAAAAACCAGTATACAGAGGGTTCTAGTAATCAGTAATTGGAGACTCCTCAAAAAAATTCACTGCAATATCAAATCATTATAAAATCACTGAAAATTTATGATACACACTTTTAAGCATGTAATTAACATCATAATATACTTTGCTGGATGAAAGGTAGATGAGAGAGACTGAAATCCATCAGAAACTTGCCTGTACATTCAATATTTTAAACTATCACTGACTTGTATATGTAGGAATTGAATCCCCATAGACAGAGAGCTGAACAAGATTATTTTATCACTTCTTTTGATGTTCTGTTATAATAATGTAGTTCAAATGAAAGGAAACTAACAGTGAGACTATTCATAATGCAATCATAGCTACAAACTCTCTTTGTTGCCCACATAGCTTTACTTTTGCAATTCAGTTTGCTAGTCCTGACAATTAAGCAATAATATTAGGAATTAGTGAATATCACTGCAGTATATATCAAATAATTGCAGCTAGTTTCAGACTCCAGTAATCTTCTTTACTATTTTCTACAATCTTTTCTTTGGTTTCACAATAGACCTTTTATTAAAACTCTGCAATGATGTCAAGTACACATTTTAGCCTATTGGGTGAGTGATATAAGCTTTGATATTTATTTGTATTTGATTTTTAATGTTTTTCCAGTAAATTGTTTTATTTAATTTTGTGATAATATTAAAAATAAATATGTTTGATCAGAATATCATGAAATCCTATATATTCAATCTTTCAACATACTTCAACAAGAAAAGATAGTTATATCTGGCATATTGGATCTGAAAACATTTAAAGATAGATTCTATATGAAGCCAGAAGATCACTCACTTTAGGATACTCTCTGAATGATTCATTATTCATCTTTTCTGTGCTCAGATCTGTGGAAACTTGAACTGTTAGTTCAGTTTGTTAAACAGAAAAGAATTTCATAATAGAATCAGATATATCATCTTTTGTTATATGGTATTCATCTGCAATGTCATCACAATATCTGTTACAATTTTTCTGCTTATCTAATCTTATTAGAGTGCCTATCTAATCTCAGGCACTCTCTTTATCTATCTGGCCAGACTGGTAACCATGTCTGTATTGAATGACTTGTGCTATTGTGCTGCAACTTATAATAGATGCCTCAATAATGCTCATATTTCATTGTTTTATGCATTTGTACTGCACTCTTTAGTTCTAACTCACAGACAACTACAATAGGACAGACTATATTTATCTTAGACCCAGACATATATAAGTAGTGTAGCTCTCACTATAGTGAACTCAGCTTTGAGCTAAAGTTTATTCTATACCATTCACCTTTGAGCAACCTGTGAATGTCTTGGTCTTCACACTAAGTCAGATACTAAAGTGGACTCTGGTGTGATTGTATGAACATGATACAATATCAGTTTATTATGAGTTTGCACTTATGTGATGCTTGAATTTAACAATATCAGATGATATGATTTCTTAGTCCAGCATTGAGCTTGAATATATGACTAGTGAAAAAACAAAACAATGAATATAGCTTTGTCTGGCTGGACTAAGTCCTTCATTCATTTTTATTAATATGCCAATTTGTAAGAATTTATTCTTTATCTCTAATTTATAAGATTCTTGAACCAAGTGAGAAAATTACAGACAGCACATTCTATCTGATGTTTGTTTCAGTGCAGCTGCATAGACATATATTCATATTCTCTTTGTTTCAATAACAAAAAAAATATTTCAAATACTCTACTCTACTATAATTTGAAGATTTATCATCTGATTTGTCTGTATTTTCTTCTAAGCTTCTCTGATATTCACTGACTACTGTTTTCAGAATACTCATCTATCTCTGGTAGATAAAAGGTGGCACTGACAGAAGCTAAAGCAACTTGGATCAATTACATGGTATATGCTTTCTGAATGATAATTTAATATCAGTGAGACTAATGTATATTTTTTTCTTTGACTATATTTCTTTATCACTCAATATTTGCAGACTTACACATGAAAACCTCCAGAGAATGAATGTCACACTGATAGATAAAGTTTATGTTTTCAATTATTTTAGTTTTCAAGGTTACAAAGATTAGACTTTTGAATATGTGTTCAATAATGATGATTCAGAAAGTTGTTAGACTTTTTGCAGGCAGAAACACAAAACCTATAACAATTAGTGAAATCAAAGCACAGAATCTGAAGGCTGATTCAGATGAGTCTAGTTATATATCTATAAGATGATTATAATCTCCAAGAGGTGTAACAATTGCTTGCTATAGATGTTATAAACCTCTAAAGTGTGTACAGAGACTCAAAGTATGTATATGAACTTTTCTATAGCAGAAATATCACATAGATATCTGGATACTGAGCAGTGCAACCTATATGCAGCATAGACTTTTATTGTTGAAATCCTACATGTAGTCTCAGTGGTATACTTTTAGTGTCATTTCTTAGTATAAGAATAATAAGCTATAGTGTTAGAAGCTTAAAGGCATGAAGTCTTATTTATAGTTACCCTTTGAAGTCTTTAGATCAGTCTAAGAGATATGAAAATGATATATAAGAATAATAAATCCTTTCATGCAAATTAAAAGTTCACTAGTATATCATGTTTGTAAGACTATTGAGATACTATAGCATTCTCAGTCAGAGAGTGTTGATCTGTAGATGATCTGTATAATTAGTTCTATTAGAGGGATGTTGTATAAGTGTATAGTTTAGTATAGGTGTTGAGTAGTTTTGGCATATCTTAGCTGTAGGCTGTAACTTAGTTTTTTTCTATGTGATCTCTCTCTCATATGTTGTATAGTATTCTACTTATAATACTCATTTACTAATACTAAGTATGCTACATTAAATAGCCTTGATAACTGCAGTATTAAGCTTAGTGAGCATAGTGAACTATTTGTAATGCAAAGCCTTCAAAGCTGTGAGGATTGTACTAAGTGTAGTATATTTAAAAGTTTACTAGCTAATAGTATGATAATCCTTCTAATATTCCTTATAAATCTCTAACCAAATGCATGATTAGTTCTATACTATATATTAGCCTTCTATGTGCTAGCTGTGAGTAGCTTAAGCATCTACAGCAAGCTTTGCATACATATTGCAGTAGGCCTTATGGACTGTATTAAGATACTGCATGTATAATGAGAATGATGTATATCCTATATGATCAGATATCATTGTGCCTGGCTGTGCCTGTGATGCATAGCTATTGAAGAGAAAGTTTATATATCATGAAAAGTTTGTGATAAAAGTATATGAGTTGAACTTGTAATAATTAGTTTACTGAAAGCCTGCTTAAAGGCTAAAATCAAAATTTATTATTAAGGCCTATGATTTCAGAGTATACAGAGCTTAAAGGCTCATCAATGAGCATTAATTATGC